TGTAGAAGTCTGCTTCATGATTCTCCACTTCTGGTACATGTATGACTTGTGAAATGACATGCTTGAGAATACACCAGTCCCAAAACTGTACTGTTAGTAGCAAGAAAGACATGGATTTTGTTCCTCCTTGGTGGTTGATATAAAGCATTGTAGTGTTGTTGTCTGTGGCTATTGGAATAACTTTGCCAACTACAAATTGTTCAAAAGCTCTCACTGTGTTGTACACTGCAAGAAGTTTGAGGTAATTGATGTGACAACATCTATCTATTGCTACTGCCTTATGAATTTGCCAGAATATTTTTTTTCCGGTTTTCCTCTCCTAAAAATGAGGCGCGTCTTACTTGGATGTGCCTCTTATGGAGCAAAAAATACGGTGTGTATGTATGTGTGTGTGTGTGTACACACACACACACACACACACAGTGGTGCCCCGCATAGCGTTTAATGCGTTCCAAATGGTCCCAAAACTCACCGTTCTGCAATGTTTCCCCATGTTCCGGCAGGCATTTTGGGTGTTCCGGCGGCCATTTTGGGTGTTCGGCGGCCATTTTGGGTGTTCTGGCGGCCATTTTGGAACCACCGAACAGCTGTTCCCCCATTGCAATGCGATAAACATTGGTATGTGATCGCATTAGCGATCGCAAAATCCGCAGCGCTATATGGATTCATCGTTAAACGGTGTGCTCGTTATACGAGGCACCACTATGTGTGTGTGTGTGTGTGTGTGTGTGTGTGTGTGTGTGTGTATAATGCTATTATATTATTCTTGTATTGTATTCATGTCATGAATTATGAGGTTGATTTGCATTTTGTGTTGCCTGCTCCAGATCCCAAAAGTTTGAGTTATAAGGAACTTCATGCATATTTTTGTATTGTATCAAGACATCTATTATAAACAGCAAAAAATCGAATTAAATCTCTCTTCTAAATTCACCTACAGCACATTAAGCATTTGCCAAGGTGGCAGTTATGAGGATAAAATGGTTCAAAAAAATCAGCCATGATGACTACTGCCCTACTGAGAAATAGATAGCATCAGTGGGTGGGTGAGAATGATGTGAACAGAGCTTTGATCAACTGGTATTGATAAAATGGAGATCTATATTAATTCATCCTTTTTTCCATCTAGCAGTGAAAGGACGATGGATCTGGTTTTGGAAATGTGCAACACAAATTCAATTCACTGGTGTGGAGTGTCAGGAAGGCAGCTGGGCAAACTTCACCCTACTTCATCCCTTCACTTAACCCTTACGCTCCTTTCATCAGTACAGGGACTACAAGTAAGATCTCCTTCCTTAATACATAATAATGATTTTAAACATACAGCTTTTCAGTTTGAATATTTGTTCTGTCTCACACTAGCTTTAAACCTGCTTTTGGTCCTTTTTTCCTCCCATTTCAGAGTGTGTCTGGCTTGAGATTAACAGATACCTTCTTGAAGAGAACCTATGAATATGATGATATTGCACAAGTCTGTGTGGTTTCTTCAAAAACAAAAGAAAACTGAGAGAACACTTATTTTAATAGCCACCGCTGGGATTTTTTGGAAAATCATCTGAAAACAAAATAATGATTAAATCAAGCTGCGTCCATCTGTAATTGGGGGATAATATTTCCTTATTTAACTATTGCTCTGGCAGTCAATCTGGCATTTTCAGAATGTTTTAAAACAGTTGTAAAGAGCCAACCATATGTATTTTAATCTATCTGGAAATAAAGTCCAATGATGCAACTGTCTTAACTGTATAATATTTCTGTACAGTTCACAGTACTTCTATTATGGTTTATAGTAAGTACATAGATAAAATCCAGAAGTAGATTTCTCCGTATTTCATGGGAAAAGAGTAAACTGATGAACACAATGTGATATTGACTGGAAAAATACAACTCATAACTTGACAGCTGTCAATTCCCATTCCTGTTTAAGACAAGATTTGATAAATGGAGAAATACAGAGCAAAGAGCATTTTGTCGGGTGTTTAAAATCATTGTTAATACACTGGAGATTTAACTCTTTTATATGTGTGATAAGGTGGAGAAACAGGTAAATTTGGAGAAGGGAACAGCTGAGTGGCATTAAAACATGAGCCTTGAATCAGATCTGTCTAGTCCAGTTCCTGCTATCCCCGCTCTTGTAACCCAAACAGATGGAAGCCCACAAGCAAGTAGTACTTGAAAGTATGGGCTCTTTCCAGTTGTTACTGTTCCACAACTGATATTGGCATTCATACTTGGCTTTAACTAGGAGTTGGATAAATTACTTGGTGGAAATGCAACTCCCAGAATCCTCAGTCAGCATGGCTGATGGTCATGGTGGCTGGGGCAAATCTGGGCATTGAACTACCCTGACAGTTTTTACAGTTCTTTCAAGCTCTGTTCTCAACCTAGAAACTCCATACAGCTGTCATAACATACTCAACCACCATGTATTTGTATAATGTTTGAGATCCAGTAGCTAGTGGCGATTGTTGGATTTTATGGCAGCAAGCTCTGCATTTTGCAAAGAAGTTTTTTTTTGTTCGGAACCGCATTCCTTTTTTTCACTTTGAACTGCAGCTCCTTGGTGAATCTAGATTAATTCTATTTAGTACATGACTGTTGCTGTAGTGCTCAGTCTCTGAGATGCCATGTCTTTTAAGTGTGTCCTTTTCCATATATTTCTCCCCTACCCCTCCCCTTACATATAGCAAAATAAAAAATATAAAGCCAATAACAGATTCTTCAAAATGACAAAGGATAAGTGGAGAAAGAAGAATTAAGTACTATCTGGAGGGAAGGCCTGCTTAAACATCCAAGTTTTTAGTTGGGTTTTAAAAATACCCAGCGACGGGGCCGTACAAATCTCTGAAGGGAGGTTGTTCCAGAGGCGAGGAGCCACCGCTGAGAAGGCCCATTTTCTTGTTTTTTTCCTTTGGGGCCTCCCTCAGCGTCAGGCTCCTCAGCCTCACCTCCTGACTTGATCGAGTGATATGGGTAGAGCTTGGTGGGAGAAAGCGTTCTGTCAAATATCGAGGCATCAACACTTTGAAGTCAATGCGGAACCGAATGGGCAGCCAATGCAGTGCGGCCAGAGTAGATGAGATACGGTTTTTTCTCACTCCACTAAGGAGTATGGCCGCCGCATTCTGCACCACTTGGAGTTTCCGCATCAGCCTCAAAGGTGGCCCCACGTAGAGTGCATTACAGTGGTCTAATCTTGAGATTACGAGTGCAGGAATGTTGGCCGGGGCAGTTCCACAACTTCTATCAGTGGAGGTAGGGGCATGGGGATCCTTTTGCTATTACAGTACCTCTTGTATTTTCAAAACTCAGCAGAGAAGGCTGCAGGAGGAGTTGCATCCCACTAATACATGTCTCACAGCATGACATTAAATGCAGGCCTATATTTCTATACACATATTGACTGCTAACTCAGAGTTCTCCCCAAAGATGAAATATTCTTAAGCCAAGTATTGCGCTATATATTAGGCCCACCTTCCTATATTTATGGTTGCTAAAAAGAATAACCGATCTCTTTACAATATTTACATATTCTGCCCTTGAACATCCTTGGGCTCCCAGCATGACATTAAATGCAGGCCTATATTTCTATACACATATTGACTGCTAACTCAGAGTTCTCCCCAAAGATGAAATATTCTTAAGCCAAGTATTGCGCTATATATTAGGCCCACCTTCCTATATTTATGGTTGCTAAAAAGAATAACCGATCTCTTTACAATATTTACATATTCTGCCCTTGAACATCCTTGGGCTCCAATCCAAGCACGTATTCTGCCCTTGAACATCCTTGGGCTCCAAGCAGCTTAGCATTTTAAAAGAAAAAAATATTTTAAATTAGAATAAACTAGAGGGAGTAACAGAACAAATGAAAGATCAGCAAAATTTTAGAGATGAAGGTCAGATAGCAAGGTGAGTGATAGATAGGAAACACGTATGATTTCCTTCAGAGAGTACAAGTGAGTTGCAACCACTAGAGCAGTGGTTCCCAACCTTGGGTAACTCAGGTGTTCTTGGACTACAACTCCCAGAAATCCTAGGCAGCACAGCTAGAGGTGTGGGAGTTGCAGTCCAAGAACACCCAAATACAACTAGAGGTGAAGGCTTGTGGGAGTTGCAGTCCAAGAACACCCAAAGTTGACGAAAACCTTGAAAAATGAAAAATACGAAGTTTTGACAGCCACTAGCCATCTTCTGCCAGTAGTCCCTTTCTGTGTTCTACAAAATGCAAACACCTCCATAATCTAGGTCTTTAAAAGAGACATATGTCGACATTCAATAACCAGGGGTGCATACTTCAGCTTGCCCAGATCCCTTGCCAGTGATCACAAAAGGACCACTGCAGTGTAAAAGAAAGAATACAGCTAAGTAAAGTGCAGTCTTACAGCCCTATCTGATGATCCCACCGATTTTACTTTTAAAAGCCCTTCATGCTCCCGAAGAATCACATACTTGGGCCCTGTGCCCTATTTTAGGGCTAGGGGGAATTCTCCACATTTACAGCTAAATAGGTGCTTTTCACTTTGTATTTAGGGGGGGAAAGATCCTCCAGCTGAAAATGTGCCAAGATCCCCTTCTGCTCTCAACATGGCACAAAAAGGCTTTTAATCTTTTTTTTTTTAGGAGTCTGTGTCCAGTGAGTAGTCTGCCACTCAGGATCTCTAGAAATTGCCTATCCAGGGCCAAGCTAGAAATCTACCTGCAGCAGACTGATGGGAATAAGCATTTCCTACCATATGACTTAAGGAACAACTGCAAGTAGTTCAGTAACGTAACCATAACACCATGTTTTTGCAGTAATAGCCTAACGGCTAGGAACAGACCAGTTCACTGAGGAAAATAACATCTTTCATATATTTTTATCCTGAAGTTGCCTTTCCCCTCTGACCTTTGTGTTGTAGAACACAGTGCAGATATCCCTACTTTATTCGTGAATTATCTCAGTTCAAAATTGAAATACACCTGCCGCACATCCAGAAGAACACTAATTGCTGGCATGTCTCTACATACAAATAATAATTCTAACAATTATTACCTTCTGAAATTAAAGTTAAATGACAAAATTGAAAAAATAGTTTCAGAACCACTGTCAAGTATATTTTTTTGATAATTACTTCTGCTTATGGCTACAATCTTTGCCATATTTATTAAGGAAAAGAGTCATACTGATTTCAGTAAGGTATGTCCATCCAAATTTGGAACTCCTCTGCAAGGCTGTTTCTTACTCAGCATTATCAATACAGGAGATTATTTCTGTCTTTATAGAGATATGGAACTAAAGGACAAAGTTTTATTAACAATAGCTTTAAAATAAGTTCAGTTCAGTTCAGTTTCCTCGTGATTTTTTAAAGGAAGAAAGCACCACAGGCAAATGTTGGAAAACAGAAGTAAAGTATGTTAGATTGCTTTTAATTTCCTTTTATTAAACTTATTCCAAATATCACAGAACTAATCATCTATGGAAAAATGCAAATGGATTAGAGCAGCCTATGAATTTCTTGCTAACTAAAGTATTGCTTTCTGAAATATGCATTGATCTGACAAACACTCTGCCCAACCTAGCAGAGGGAAAGTGCTAGTGCTTTGTCTTCATGTAAGATGGGTCCCTATTTTGAATTTTAAAAACATCTTTACTTATTACACGGGACATCTGAACGAATACTCACTAACCTTACTATGGCAGGTTAGTGGAGATGGCATCACTGTTCCTGGCACTCTGCCAACTAGAGTGATGGTTTTTAAATTTGCAGGCTCTTCCAACCCAATCTCAGGATCTGTTAGCCACTTTCCTTTATAACAGATGGTAAAATTAATTACTCAGATTTAGTTAATTATCTCAAGAGTGTGCATTTTTACCTTTTAGACCACAAGATTTGTACTGTTAATCTCATTCAATTTGCTCAATCTCTGTTACTACCTCTGGACCACATGCTTAATGCATCTGTCCCCATGCCACATAACCAGACACTCAAGGAACATGCAAACTGACTGTAGGGAGCAGGCTCCGTGGAAAGGACATGTCAGTGGGGACCAAACGTATTCAGAATAAAGGTCTCCCAAACTGTTGCTTTTTCCAGCAAGTAGCTGATGCAACAGTATTGCAGCAGATGGTACAGTATTTGTGCCCCCTCTGAATATTCCAGAAAGCCTCCCTTGATGTTTTGAATATGATATACTGTTTAACTTGAAATCCTGTCTCCTGAATGACTTTAGATCATTTTAAAAGCAACATACAGTGGTGCCTCACTTAACGGACGCTCCGTTTGACGACGAAATAACTAGACGTTGATGTTTTTGCAATCGCAAAACGATGTTCCCTATGGAGGAATTTCCATTTGCGATGATCGGTTCCCTGCTTCGGGAACCGATCATTGCAAAGCGATGATTTTCGGCCAGCTGATCGGTGGTTTCAAAACGGCCGCTGGGTAAACAAAATGGCCACCCCCTCTATTATTAACAATTTTGTAAGCATCATCATGCACATATATCAACTTTCTGCTGTCTCAGATATTCTTAAGGCAGTTTCTAATGTGCAACCATCATGAACAATGTAAGCAGGCAAATAACTATTAATATAATAATACATTGTGTACAAAACACCCATCTGATACAAAACTTGATGTCATTCCATAACAAATATTACAGAGATGTTCCCAAGATAAATGTCAAATTTTCTGTATGCATGATATTCTTTCTGTACATTTCTGGGTGACTTTTCAATCTCTTAACCTATAATCTTTTAAAAACTTCTTGACACTCTTTCCCACATCTCTTCTGACTAGCCCTTCCAAATTCTTCCTTCCTATTGCCTATCTATGGTTTGATCTGAGACTCTACTCCTCAAACCACAAGTCTTATATATGGCTTTCATAACTTCCTGCCCCTCGTTACATTCATCACAATGAAGAAACATTGCTGTCTCCATCCAGTTTATAAAATAACTGTAGGGAAAGAGGTCAGGCCTCTCTCTTCACAGCTGTTTCAACTGTGTATGAGTGCTTCCCAGAGGCTGAGATAATACTTTCTTTTAAAACATGACAATCTATGCTTAGTGATCTACAAACCACCCCAGTTATATCTATCCAGCTCTTCTACCCGCAACCCAGCATAACTTTAGGCTCCTGCTCCTATAGACAGACTCACTCATTTCTCCCCCAGCCCCTCAAATGCCTGTGTACTCTCACCTCTCTCTGGCCACATTATCTCTTCCTTCATTTCAACAAACCCAGTAAAGTAAAAATCCACACATTGACTCTTCACTTTATTAGGTTTATTGCCACTTAGACATGCAAAATTTTCCACACTTCCCACAGCCTTGTATGGGGAAGCCAACCTTCCTGTTTGACAGAAACTGCCTATCTGAATATGTTTTGTATATAATTTTATACAAGCACTATTTTTCCACTTTCGCCACACTAGGTGATCTCCTTCAGTGCAATCTTGATCCAAAAAATCCATCCTCTCAAAGAGAATGGGAAACCACACACTGTTGCTTATTAAATGTTCCCTTGTACATAGAGATTTTAATAAGCCAACAGTTCTGTTTATAGTCCATTTACAAAGGCATCAATATACATAACATGATATGTTCAGATCTGTGTGCAATGAATCTGTTTTCAACAGACAATAAGGAATACACACAAAGGATTTCCTGCCTCATGTCTGAGAAGAATTACAATGGTGATATTTGCTAATAGCTACAGTATGCCTTTTGAAAATCTGCACAACAGGATTGTGAAAACATGCCTCTTGAATCAGGAATGTTCTTCAGTGCTGCCACTGAAAGATCTGCTGCGAACATGGTTTCTCAGTTGCTCTATCAGCTCCGGGTTTTGCTGCTGGATCTGCTGTGCAAACTGCTGTCCACTGTGTAGATTTTTTAAAACCAAAAAACAGTAAATGATGGAAAGATACTATGCAGAATACAAGAAGAAGACAATGTTAAGACTAACTGTACAACTCAAAGTAGATCATACACTGGAAATGGAGGTGCCCAAGAGTCCTGAGGAAACTGTAACATTTAAAAAACTGTCCTTCATTGTTTAGGAAAAGACTTAGGGATGGCACTGCAGAACCTTAACACTCATATGAAGGATCAAATAGTAACCAACATAAAAATAAAATAGCTGTATGGTTAATCATTCAGGAATTAGAAAATCACTTTCTGGACTACAACTATCAGAATCCTACAGACATCAATGCAGAGGCTGTGCTAACTATGGTATTATAGAAAAGATGGTCAAAAATGTAATTTATCTCATATCTTATCTTTACTCCCACAAAACATTTTGAGAAATCCTGGCTGGAATCCTGTTGCTTTCTTATGCAGGCAGAAGGCAAATGCTCCTAGACAGCAATGAACAAGTTCCTGCCACGGTTCCTAGAAGCACACATATCTGCTGACTTGGTGTGCATTCAAGAATTCCAGCGGGAACTTGTTAATTGTCCACTAGAATCAAGTGAAAGTCATACCATTTGTCTTGCACCAGAGTAACAAAGCAACAGGATTTCAGACAGTACCTTTGGCAAAGCATTATCTTTACTTAGAGTAAAAACTGATGAAGTCTTACTATCCCTTAGGAGTACTGGTTCTTGACAAAGTGAGTACACATTGACAACAAAAAAATCTGCTGAAGTCCTTTTCCATTTATAAGATGCTCCCATTTATAAGACACTTCCCCCACTTTTCTAACCGAAAAATTAAGAAAACTTAGCTTTGAGTATTCAGTCTCTGGGCTCAGAACACTCAGACATTACGAGTCCGTGTTGCATCTGAGCCTACAGGCTCCACATCCAATGAGGTGTGTTTCAGCAGGTTTGTTCAGCATCAGCTAATATCAGTTCCATAAGAGTTGTGATTGGAGGAAGCTAAGTCTCCTGACTGTAGGAAGCTAAGCCTTGTGATTGAAGGAAGCCTGTTTGCAGAGGCAAGGTCTGGGCCATTTTGTTCTCTCCTCAACTTACTTCCATGTATAAGACAACCTTCAATTTTTAGTGTAATGATTTTAGGAAAAAGTAGTGTCTTATACACGGAAAAATACAATAACTGAATTTAATGTATTTTAATGTTTGTGATTTTATTGTATTTTAATCTTCCATTTTAAGCTATTCTGTAAGCCACCTTGGATCTCATTTCTGGGAAAAAGCTGGCACTTAAATGGAATGAATGAAATGAAACTGATAAATGAAAGACACAGTGGGATGGAGGAGGAGGGCCATGTATATCCATCCAATTGAAGGAAAAGGGGAAATTAGTTGTTTTGCACTGACACTGATTTTTGAACAGTACAGATCTTCCTGGGTCTGCAACAGCACCACCAGTTTGGCAGTACTATTTCTGTGGCTAGCAAACAAGAGCAGCAAGGGGTGGGTGGGTTCCAAGTTGCGAGTCAAGTCTGAGTTATTTTTAAAAAATTCTTAACTTAGACTTGACGGTGAGTCCCATGTCTTGAGTCCCTATCACTAATTAAAAGCTTCTCCCACTCTTGTCCTGAAGTTCCCAAAGGCTTTGTGAGTCAAAAGGGAGCCCTAGAGAGCCCCAGAAGCTGAAATGGGGGGATAAAGGTAAAGGTAAAGGTTCCCCTTGACATTTTTAGTCCAGTCGTGTCCGACTCTAGGGGGCAGTGCTCATTTCATTTTTCAAGCCGTAGAGCCAGCGCCTGTCCGAAGACAGTTTCCATTGTCACGTGGCCAGCGTGAGTAGGGAATGCCGTTTTACCTTCCCACTGAAGTGGTACCTATTTACCTACTCACATTTACATGCTTTCAAACTGCTAGATTGGCAGGAGCTGGGACAAAGCGACGGGAGCTCACTCCGTCGCGTGGATTCGATCTTATGACTACTTGGACTTCTGACCCTGCAGCACAGGCTTCTGCAGTTTAGCCCACAGCTAAATAAATTTAAATGACTTGTTCCCAGTGCCTCTGGGCTTATGCCAGTGGAAGTGCACCAACAAAATTTTGCTCACTGACTTATTTCTACAGCTGTTCAAGCTTTCCAGCTTCCTGTGCAGTGAAACATTTGACATGCTGCCGAAGTGAAATTAAGTATTAAAACTACTGCAATTGCTACTGAACTGTTCTGAGATATTGGTGTTTTTTTAAAAAAACTTTTTTTTGTTTATTATTAATTTTTGTGTCAGTCTACATTAAAGTGTTATAAGCCAATGTTGGATGCAACTGTTTTTGGACAAAAAAGTAAAGGAGGATGCAACACAATGTAACACACACAGGCTGGGCGAAGGGTGGCTCCATTAGTTCTTGCTGGGCTGCAGCTCCTATCAGACCTGGCCAGCACAGTCAAGGGCAAGGAATGCTGGGAGTTGTAACGCAGATCCATGTGGAAAGCTGCTCTTCACCTTCCCCTACTACTACTATTCCCTACATTCGTTGGACATCCTAATTTTTTAAAAAGGCCAGAAATTCTAACCTGGTTCCACTTAAAAGCCTCATTTCCACATAGGCACAGCAATATGAACATCACTTACGCATGTATGAGGCTTGACAGATCAGAGAGGCCACCAACACCTGCACCAGGACCCCCTATAGCATTTGTCATCATTCCTGACATCCTACAAGAAACAGATATGGCACAGGTATGAGGAAAGACAAATTTATTAATTTTTTAAAGCAATTAAAACATGTAAATAGGAAGGTCACTGTAAGTCTAATTACAAAAGGAACGTTGTCAGCACCTTCTTCCATTTACTTTCCCCTGTACATGTGCAATTAAAGAACGAGGTATGGAACAATATATTCGCGAAGGCTTTCACGGCCGGGATCTAATGGAACAATAGTTCTTCTGCCTACCTCTTGAGTCACTGCAGTGAGATCTACTCTTGATAAATTATTGATGCATCTTTCTGTATAGTAAATAATAATTCTGTGCCATCAAGTCAGTTCTGAAAAACCTTTTCAGGGTTTTCTAGGTGGAGAGTACTTAGAAGTAGTTCACCATTCCCTTCTTCTGGGGCATCTTGGGATTATGCAGCTTGCCCAGAACCACACAGGCTGGCTCCGCTCTGCAAGAGGTACAGTGGAGAATCGAACTTCCAGCTTCTGGCTTTGCAGCCAAACACCTAACTCACTGAGCCAACCAGCCAGCTTCAGAGTAACAAATGTCTTCTTGTATTAATCCTCTGCTCCTTACTTAACCTACTCAAGTCTACCTTGTTCATGCATGATATTATCCCTGAGATCTCAGTGTCAAGGGCCCAAAACCAAAGCCACAGTATTTTTTCTTCCCTGTCCCCAGGGCAAAGAGTCTTCCCTTGACTATTGCTCAGTTCTCAGAAGAAAGGTGCTGAATAATTTCAGCTCTTTATTTATTTAACCATTGATAGCCTGCCCTATATCATAGGATCTCAGGGCAGATTATAAACTGTATAAAACAATTTCAAAACATAAGATAGTTTTAAACAATTTAAAATCAAACAACACAAAATTAAAACACTCAGACATTAAAAACACCTCTAAAACCTGTGCAGGCCATGATTCTCAACTCCCAAAGGATAATCAGAAATACATCTTGACTTGGCGCTAGAATGCTGCCAGGGTCGGCACCAATCAAGCCTTAAAAGAAGAGCATTCCACAGATGGGGGGCTACAGGAGTAAAAGCCCTCCACACTGTCAACATATAACAAATTGTTCTCAATGGCAGGATGCAGAGAAGGGCCTCCCCAGCAGATCTTAGTGATCTGGCAAATTTATACAGGGAGAGGCACTCCTTCAAATATCCAGGCCTCAAACCATTTATGGCTTTATAAGTTGCCATTAACACTTGAACTCAGTTCAGAATCATATTGGCAGCCAGTGCAAATCCTTCAGAACTGGTATCCTGAAAGATGTTATTGTTGGCAGCGCTTGCTGAAACACCCCTGTCATCTTCAAGAGTAGCCTCACGTAAAGTGCACTGCAGTAGTCTAACCAGGAAGTTACCAAGGCATGGACTACTACTAGAATCTAGCCATATTATCCCTGTCTGGGAATGGTTGGAATTAGCAGACCAGTCAAAGCTGGCCACGAGGCACAGAGCTCATATGAGCCTCCAAAGACAAAGATGAATCTACACTCCTTCAGAACGAGCACAACTCCACCCATAACAGGTCTCTTGCCCTACTCCCAGACTTGGAAACTACCAAACCACAGAGCCTCCATCTTTTGGGGATTCAGCTTCAGTTTACTGGCTCTCATCCACTCCATTACAGCCTCCAGACATTGGTCTAGCACCTGTACAGCCTCAGTCAACCCAGATAGTAAGAAGTACAGCTGAGTGTCATCAGCATACTGGTGATACAAATCTCAAAACTCCTAATGACCTCTCCCAGCAGCTTCATACTGTATATATATTAAACAGCATGGAAGATAGACTGGAACCCTGTGGCACCCCACAGCTTGGGGATTAGCAGACGTCCTCAAACACCACTCTTTGAAACCAGTTCCAAAGATAGGAATGGAACCATTGTAGTACAGTGTCCTCCCACTATCAAGTTTGCTCACTGCAAATGAGGAGGGCCTAACAGCCTGGCACTTTAGGCTTTCCTTCAAACCTAAGTGTTTGTGATATCTCAAAACCTTGGTCACCCACATTTTTCAGCAGATGATACACATTTAAACACTTACAGTTGCTGAACTTGAGGATTCTGCATTAAACTTGCTGCCTGAAATAGGTAAAACAGCTTGAGTTGAAATGCAGCTCACAGACTGTGAATAAAGGTCAAGGCTGAAATTCCACAACATGGCCAATTAAGGCCAAGCGTCAGATCCAAAACATCTGGGGAAAACAACATCATTGTAAGACTGTGGTGCCTCAACACTGAGTTTCTAATTGGAAAGCTTTATTTAATTGGGACACACAATATGAATTAGGTTTTCAGGAGCTATATAATCGTCCAAAAACTTAATTTCTACAGAAATTTGTTCTAAAGACCTGGGAAGAGAATTCACAATGGCAAAAGGAGAGTATCAGTAGCAATCTGCTGTGGGGTGTCTCATCTCAGAAAGAAAAGAATACTGTTCCCAAGAAAAGAAGACAGTTTTGCCTTTTAGAGAAATAAAATACAATGGCCAAATGAGACATGAAGGAGAACTAGCAAAAATAAACAGAACTAGCAGAAATAAATTCTAAATGTCCTTACCATACTGATGAAGGCAGGATTGTTTATCAGGCTTGCCATATCAAAACTTATTCCTGTTCCAGTCTGAGAATAAAATATATATATATCAAACTTGTATAAAAGAGATCTAAATTTTAAACACATTAGATTAAAAATTTCAAAATTAACTTACAGGGCTGGACATATCTCTTAATTTCTGCTCTGCTATTTTCAGATTTGACTTATATGAGTCATTTTCTGGATCAAGATCCAGTGCTTTTCGGTAACTGTTGATGGCTTCTTGGTATTTATTCATTGAAGTCAGAGCTAATCTAAATGGAGAAACAACACCGTGAGGACGATCTGTATTGCTTTTTTAAAAACGAATTCTTATTTCAATGAAAAATGTTAATACTGTACTGTTGAACTTTTAAGAAAAAGTGAGCCTCTGGTCAATGAAATGTATGCTTTAGATATAACCTCTGAAGTGCCATGAGAGACCAATTTCTGTTGGATGAATTGACACTGTTCTGTGACTGTATGCCATCAGTAAACTTCCACCTACAGTGGTGCCTCGCATTACGACATTAATTCGTTCCAGCGAAATTGCTGTAGAACGAAAGTGTCGTAATGTGAAAAGAAAAAACCAATTGAAATGCATTAAAACCCGTTTAATGTGTTCCAAAGGGCTGTAAACTCACTGTCCAGTGAAGATCCTCCATAGGGCGGCCATTTTCGCTGCCTGTGCAGCGAGGAATCCGTCCCAGAAAACAGCAGGGAGCCATTTTGTTTACCCGGTGGCCATTTTGAAACCGCCGATCAGCTGTTGGAAAATTGTCGTTTTGCGAAGGATCCATTCCGGAAGCAGGGAACTGATCATCACAAAGGAAAATTCCCCCATAGGAAACATCGTTTTGCGATCACAAAAGCGATCGCAAAAAGTTCATCGCAATGCGGTTTCATCGTTAAACAGGGCAATCGTAAAGCGAGGCACCACTGTACTTATGATGGTAAGCTTCTACCTGGTAATCAGTAATCTATTTCTATTTAAAATTTGCCATGTGCAAAGAAGGAATCTTGTGCTATTGTGTCTACCTCTTTTGCATGAAAATAGCAGGTTCTAGAATAGAGGAAATTATTTTCTTCAAGCTAGAAACAAAAAATACTGTTTACATGTTTATACGTTTATATTATTCTGTTCTATTTAACAAAAGTTGCACAGAGTTAGAAAAGAAGCAGGCTCCTATTGGTAGGTCAAGAAAGGGTATCTTGTAGTATTTTCCAGGATAGGAAAGTGATTTGGCAGCCATTTTGTGCGTACAACCATGCTATTCCCTCAGATTTCCAAATGTGTCCACTGACCCAACATGTATATTTGGAGTATTTCAGAGTTTCAGTTAAAGACATGGGCCAATGCAGTAAGAATGATTTATTAATGCTAACAATGGAGTACAAAACCACTAAAATTCCCTATTTAAATAGGCACAGCAACGCTGAACTTCTGCACCAATCTCAGATCACTCTGAATGTCTTGTCATGCAAAGGTGATCTTCTATTGATCTTCTAAAAGGGTCAAAATTAACTGTCCAGAAAGAACAAGGAAAACGCTATGTGTTCCTCAAGATTATACAAATGCAGAAGTGAATACCTTTTATTGGACCACTAAAAAATTAAACAAAGAAAGAACTGTTTCAAGTATGAGAAGGTGCCGCAAATTATTTAGAAGCCCACTGGATGTTACAGACAAAGTGACTTTTGTAAAGAAAGAATTCATCTCTCTCTTGTACAGAGGTGGATGACTCTTGCTAGTTGTCAGGTTACAAAAGTGAAAGTAAATTGAAAGTTGAAATTGAATAACATTCACTAATTCTCATGTATTAAATCCTCTGGGAGCCAGTGTATTTCATAAAGGTAAAAACTAAAGAAAAGCCACATTGATTGCAAAATTAAATGTATAAAGGATATTACATACTCAGTTTGAAGTTAAGTAAAAATCTATACAAGTCTGTCATTACTATTTTTTATTGTTGCAGACAATAAATAGCTCTTAAGTATTTGATGGTCTAAGAAACATATAAACTAAAATCTTATTGTGTAGGTCTGCCTGCACAAAAAGAAGGTAAATCACCACCAACTAACGGCTTTCTTTGGCTATTTCAGGGTAGGCATGAATTGTACACAATGCAACAAAGTCAGTGCACTCCAAAATTGCCAAAGGAAACCTCAAATCATCGGGCTTTCTTTGAGGAAACCAGTGCCCTTGATCCGTTCCAGTCTGGGTTCAGGTTGCCTCATGGCACAGAGAAGGCACGGGTCACCCTGCAAGATGACCTTCTGAGGGAGGCCGACAAGGGCAAAACATCCGTGTTAGTCCTCCTTGACCTACAGATGGCCTTTGATACCGTCGACCACAGTATCCTCCTGGGGAGGCTCTCGGGGCCGGGGATCAGTGGTCAGTCCTTGGCCTGGCTCCAGTCCTTCCTGAGGACCTTTCTCAGAGAGTACAGCTTGGGAACATGCTGCCCACACCGTGGACTCTCAATTGTGGAGTCATGCAGGGGTCAGTCATCTCCACAATGCTGTTTAATATCTATATGAGGCTGCTGGGAGAAGTCATCAGGAATTTCGGGGCTTCGTGTCACCAATATGTGGATGACGCTCAGCTCTCTCTCTGTCCGTCCACACTTCTGCAGTGGATGCTGTCTCATCCCCTGAGCACTGCCTGGACGTGGTGCTGAGATGGATGAGGGAAAACAGACTGAGGCTGAACCCGGACAAGATGGGGGCCCCTAGTGTTTGTGATCTGGGTGCCTCCTTTTCCGTCAGGGATGCTGTTCTTTCCATGAAGGAAGAGGTGCGCAACCTGGGCATACTTTTGGATCCAGTGCTATCAATGAAATCCCAGGTAGCGTCTATGGTCCGGTCCACCTACCTCCACCTAAAACGGATTGCCCAACTGCATCCCGCCCTTGGGACACTGGGTCTCTCTCCATCCTGGTCCATGCATTAGTAGTCTCGAGATTAGCCTACTGCAATGCTCTCTGTGTGGGGCTGCCCTTGGGACTGCTACGGAGATAGCAGCAGGTCCAGAGCACGGTGACTAGATTAGTGAATGGTGTTAGGAAAGACCAACATAGCTTGGCCACCTTACACTGGTTACCTGTTTGCTTCCATTCCAGCTTCAAGGTGATGGTATTAACCTATAAGGCCCTAAATGGTTTGGAACCTCGATATCTAACCAAGCGCCCCCTTTCTGTTAGGTCTGCCCATCCAGTAAGATTGTCACAGGCAGGGTGGCTAAGAGTGCTGACCCTGAAAGGCCCAGAAAACAACCACCAGAAATTGGGCCTTCTTGGTGGTCGCTCTGCAACTGTGAATCATCATCATCATCTTCTGATGTTGCCCCCACTGCACTCATGGAGCTACACAATAGGATTTTAGACACTGTCTCATCAACTTTCTCTTTCCACTCATGCTGACTGACTGCTTTAGCCCTATCCATGACCAGCATGCAGTCCTCAACAACTCCCAGATTAACTGCAAAAGATTGCAATTAAATAAAAATGTGGCATTTTGATAACTGCTATTCAACTGTTTTAGCACAACATAACATATTTTTATGTGGTGCTCGAACACATTAGAGTTCTTACCCCATTCTTCCATAAGCTTTACTGTATTTTGGATCTATTGCTATTGCTCTTTCACAGTCCATTATTGCTTCTTTGTGGTTGTTCAGTTTACTTTGAGCAGCAGCTCTGAAATGTGAAGAAAGTGAAGCTATAAAAACATGAAGCAAAAAACAATCAAATCATCTCTCCCCAACAATCAACCTCATCCAGTTAAGTGGAAGCCCTAAGATTTAAACAGACTTACATCTCAGTGCTGATCATGTTTCACAGGAAAGTAAACCCCATCAATCCCAAGGGAATTACAGATAGCTTTGAAATTCATTGAAAATATTTAAGGAAGAATAGGAAGCAAAGAGGAGCAGTGGAAATGCCTACGATAAGCGCAAAAGTGAGGGGTAGTGTATTACATGTGAGAGCAGGACAGAAATAATTCAAAAACATTCTCCAGAAGATTTTAAATTTATCTACCTGTTGCAATAATAGACAGCATTGTTTGGATCCAGTTCTATTGCTTGACTGTAGCAATCCACAGCAGCACCATAATTTTCTTCCTTCATGTGATTATTACCTAAAATACATGTTTACAAGATGGAATTCTGTGTGTTTGGGACTGCCCCAAAGTGCTATAAACATCCTCCTATAATTCTGTTATCCTTGGCTGTGATCTTTACAAAATCAAATAGCTTGCTGCAACACAACACTTACTTTTCCCATGCAATTTTGTTTGACACACAGGTATGTAACTTTTGCTTACAGAAGTCTAAGAGGTTCATTGCTCCATTTCAATGAAAAGGAAAACTATTCTGGTGGAATTAATAAACCAATGCAGTTAGGGAGCTGATATATCATAAAATCATAAGTATATGTGAAAAATATCAATTGAAATCCTGGTAATGCCCACATAAGGTTTATAAGGTTTGCTTAACCTGCCGTGGCTAATTGTGACTAAGAGTGCAGCTTGAGTGCACAACTGGGCACATGCCCAGGCACATGACTAAGCCACATCCTAGCACTTCACAGTTGAACACAGCAAATTATGCAAACGCCAATAGGATTCTGGATATTATGTTATAAATGACTGAATTTTGGATTCATCACTAGGCTTCAGACGAGGTGTTCCAAATCTCTAAAATAATAATTTTATGACCTACTTCCCAGGTCAGTGGCATGGATTTATAAAATAACAGCTGTATGGATTTAAGAAACACTTGTGCATAAGAGTGATAATGAATACTGGTAGCAATAATAAGGATGACTAAAAATATGCTGATGCACTAATTAGGAGATAACTATATGAGCAAATTCATTGTGCAAATTTGCAAATTTATATCTAGCCTCACACACTTCGTTTTGCCCCCACCAAATTCCCAAATCCACCTACATCTCTCTTAAAACAGAATTCACCCCCAGGCTGAAAAACGCTCCTTGGTTGTGTTTTAGACAACTGATCAATTATATTTACATAAATCTAAATAAGGATAAGAATATTTCCTAAGCAAAAGGAATGTATCTGAAATTTTCATGGTGTTCATACGTTGTAGGAGGCATAATTTCAAAGGCATTTCTCTGGTGTTTGTGGAAAGGAGAATGAGCCATACAGTGCTCATTAGCTGAAGTTTTTATAAGTGCTTGAATTAAAAATTAATATATTTTTATTGTTATCCAAATGGGATTACCTTTATAGCACATTAATCAGTCAGACCCATTCACTGAAAATGTCTGAATCATGGAGGCTCATTCTGAAGTGCATTGGAAAATACAGTGTGCTGTGCTTTCTCCTTCCTCCAGAGTAGCCAGCAGGGTAATGACTTAGCAGGCAGCATAAGAAATACCTTCCAACTGATCTTCACTAAATAGTGCTGGCGAAAAGCCTGAACAGTTTCACAATATCCATAAGCCTTATTTCTGTATGGTCAATAACTGAAATTCAAAAACCAGGACAGAATGAAGGGGTGTACTGCCCACCTTCCTCACATACCTTCATCCTTCAGCTGGTCAGCTTTCTCAAGATCCTCTGGCAAAGAATCTGAGAGGGGCAGCACTTCACTCTAAAGGAATGTGTTTTTTTAAAGGAAAAATGAAGTTACTTTCCAATATTCTTGTTACTTTGCTATCTTTATCATTGATTAAAAACTCAATTTGAAGAGACCCTTGTCCAGCAGGCCAAGGCAAAGAGGCAGTCCCCAAACCAGCAAAATCAGGGAACTGGACAGGGGACAGATTGTATTTGTCTTCAATGTGGAAGGGATTGTCACTCTCGAATTGGTCTCCTCAGCCACACTAGACGCTGTTCCAAGTACTCTATTCAGAGCACATTACCATAGTCTCTTGAGAATGAAGGCTGCCTAATCTAAATTCTTTAATTATCATATCCTGACTTTAGAAAGAACAAGTCTTTGCTCACATTCCAGAAAACTATGGTTACCAGCTCTGGAACATGCTATGATCTGAACCAACTTCAAGCCATGGTAAAGCTGGTAACCACTGTTTTCTGATTTTGATAAAATGGGAAATAACAATTAATTGGAGACTTCTGCATGTCAAAAAGGGAGAGAAAAACTTTTGGATGGCTGAAAGACTTGTTCAATTTCTATGCTTCTTATGCTGAGATATACTAACAGAAACCAGACACCCGAAAGCTTAACATTTAATAAATACTACCCATTATAATAGTGTTGGTCCTTTTTCTTCTTGAATTAGATGTAGAATGATCAAGAAAATAACTGTGCAAAATTTAAGATATTTAATGTACATAATAATATGATTTATGTTTCACCTTATGACATGAATTCTCAAACATTTCCCTCAAGCATACTGGCACTGCAAGATGGGAATCTTCCAAAGTAATTTTGAAGACTGTCTCCAAACACTGAATTGCCACTGAAAAGAAATAAATATTTTATTCAAAATCTATTTCCCAACTTTACAATTTACAACTTTTCAATTTCAGAGGTATTACAATTAATTTATCTTCTATAAAATACTTAGAATGTGCTCCCAAGGATCTAAATTTAATAAGAAGACTTCAGCTTGCAAAACATAAACTTAAAGATATAACCCATATTAAAAATCATTTCCTTTTTTAATAAATCTGAGGTTTGCATTCAGTATCATAATTTTTTTGTCCTTTTCTCCCATTTTTGCATAACTTTTTCCCCCAAGAAAGATGAATTTACAGGTTTTAACCTTTAGGAAAATAAGGATCTTTATCACATGAAGGGTCTGTTTGATGGAAAGCACCAAAAAACAATCATACAGATCACAATCCAATGAATAATATTTGGTTCTAACTTTTACAAATTGCTCATCTTATAGGTATTCCCCAGGTTCAAGATCAGACATGCAGACTATTGTTCAAATTTTAATCACTAATATCAGACTCTGCAAAAGAAGCAAAAAACCTAATTCCTCACATTTCTAATATGCATGTCAACTCAACATATAGTAAAAACATCTGCTAGTCAGACTTATAAATCCAATTTAGCAACAAAGATTGGAGCATACAATGTCACCCTCCTCCATTTAAGTCAGTTTTTGCTAGACTGAAAGAACATGGCTTAAAGTTATGCCACAGATGGTATTTCACCCTATTAAGAGGAGCAACTTTAACAGACCTTGTTCCTCACTTGCATCTAAGGGCTACTTTACTCTGGCATTGTCCAAGCATCCTTGCCTGCTTTGAATACGGGATAGTCTTTGTTATTTATATATTGTTTAATGTGATTTACCCCCTTGCTTATACATTTCTAATTCAGATCTATCTAAAAATGCATAATATTATATGAAATATTTATAGAGATATACCTGAGGTATTTTTAGTGTTCTAAGTTAACATTTTTAAATGATGTCTTTACCAACATAGGAGATAAACATTAAAAACTCACATTATTGTCTGGAAAAACTAGATCCATACTTATCAGTCTTCTTTTTATAGTATTCAACTTACAAGCTTTTCTTTAAAACATGAGTCATATCAAGAAAACGCAACAGAACATATAAAAAATTGAGCTATAGAAAATCCCACAACCAACTTTGATGGATAATCCAGAGTATGACTATGAAGTTGCAACAAATCAAGTGTGGATATTGTAATGAATCAATAAAGCACTACCTTCCTTCAATTAACACCTGTGAACACCTCTGCTGAAACCTGGTCTATCAATAAAGACTTAAGCATTTAACTGGTCAGTTTACTCTATCCCTACCTAAGTGTAAATTTTGAGTGACACTTCTCTGGAAAGCAACAAATGATGGTATCATTCTTCATCTCATCTCTCCTTCATACAACTTTGATTCTTTCCTATTGGCTCGCTGGTGTCCTACCGCTGTGGTGCTGGAGGAGACTCTTGAGAGTCCCCTGGATTGCAAGGAGAACAAGCCTATCCGTTTTGAAAGAAATCATCCCTGCGTGCTCACTGAAAGGACAAATCCTGAAGCTGAGGCTCCAATACTTTGGTCATCTCATGAGAAGAGAAGACTCCCTGGAAAAGACCCTGATGTTGGGAAAGTGTGAAGGAAAAAGGAGAAGGGGACAACAGAAGGCGAGATGGTTGGACAGTGTCATCGAAGGTACCAACCGGGTGACAGTGGAAGACAGGAAGGCCTGGCGCGCTCTGGTCCACGGGGTCACTAAGAGTTGGACACGACTTAACAACTAAACAACAATTGGCTCAGAGATTTAATATGTAACTCTTCAGCTTGCTCTAGATTAGCATGGGGACATCTGCAGTTTGGTATTTCTAGTGAGGAGTGATCTACGATTTGACCCTCTTCAGTTTTCAGGACAAAACCAGCAGCCTTCAAAGAAAACACACTGAAGAAGCTCCACAGATGGCATCTTTGCCCTACAAAGCGATCCAGATTTGTGTCAAGGTTTTTGTTATAACATCCCTTTACTATTTCCATTATATGTGTTTTTATAATAATTTTAAAAACTTGTATTCATTTCTAAGTGAACTTCACTTACTGTGCAAGCTTAGAACAATGAGCATCTTAAAACAATAAAAACTTCCTAGAGTACATTAAATCCATATTTGTTTGTAATGCTACTATACAAAAACCTAATTTTAAAGTGACAGTTATTAGAATGGATTCTAAAATAAGACATAAAAAGAAATCAGAAAGATAAAGCTCAGTCACTGCAACAAAAATTATTTAATGGAACCCTTTGATAAATGTTCTTTATTAATCAATAATCACTAAGAAGCAGTGAAGCAGATATGCCCCTTTGCCATTTGGGTAGAAAGGAAACATTTCAGGCAAACACTTTAGTAGCAGTAACGGAAGCACTTGTTTAAGAAAGCTTAACTTCTCTCACAGCTTCCTTATCCCTTCTCCTCCTAGGTAATTCCCTAGATAAAAGCAATAAACAAAATAAGTTCAGACATAAGCCTCCACAGGTCCTACTAACCTCAGAAACAAACCCCAGAAACAAGGCCAATCCCATCATGAGGTAAGAAGGCGGAATCAAATATAGAACATATAAGGACCGCTGCTGTTGGGTCACACCCCATTCCATATGATACTGGGTTTGTGTTTTTCAGTTCTTAACTCCCCAGCAGGAAACACCACAGAAACGGCAAGTGGTGGGAGAAACTGCCAGTTGAAATGCTCTTATTCCTACAGGATAAGACTAGCTCACCCTTCCCATCCTTGCCTTTCATCCAAGAATGCAGCATGAAATCATTTATGTACAGTGGTGCCTCGCACAGCGATCCTTCCCATCCTTGCCTTTCATCCAAGCATGCAGCATGAAATCATTTACGTACTTACCTTCAGCAGAGCAAAAAGCAAAAAAGGAGAGCTTTCTTCACTTGCTAGGAAAAAAAAATTATCAGCTACCAAACCACCCAGAGATTGTGGAACCCTGCCTATTGGACCTCACTGGTGAATTCAGTGCATACCTTGGAACACATCCAGAACGTTCCTGGGCTATGCACTGCAGGAAGAAATTGGTTGTGCTAGAAAAGCTATCTTCCTGGGAGGTTTGTCTGTTGTCATTGATCTCCTCATGAGCGATCGCAAAAACGGCACCGTTGCACGGATTCGTCGCTTTATGAAGCGAACGTTCTGCGAGGCACCACTGTACTTACCTTCAGCAGAGCAAAAAGCAAAAAAGGAGAGCTTTCTTCACTTGCTAGGAAAAAAAAATTATCAGCTACCAAACCACCCAGAGATTGTGGAACCCTGCCTATTGGACCTCACTGGTGAATTCAGTGCATACCTTGGAACACATCCAGAACGTTCCTGGGCTATGCACTGCAGGAAGAAATTGGTTGTGCTAGAAAAGCTATCTTCCTGGGAGGTTTGTCTGTTGTCATTGATCTCCTCATGAAAAGTCTCTTTTAAGTGTCCAAGGAACTCCAGGGTTCCTCTGAACAACAGTGTGAAAACCATGGAAAAACAAACACAGCATGAATGTCTCTTTAGCTTCTCACTCATTTAAAGTCAGTACTGCTATCAGATATCACACTCCTCAACCAATACAAACCTTCCAAGCTTTCTTGTTCATCTGAAGTGAATGTATCCATCTGACTCTGTTCTCGCAGAAAATGGATGATGGCATATACAAGGCGTTTGACAGAAGACATGTTCAAAGCTTGGAATGCCCCCCTGTATCACAAAAGGGAAAACAATCTCATTAGTACCAAGGAAATACTGTACAGAAAAACTCGTTGTCAGTCTTAAAATCCCTGACATGTCAAAAACTTCTACTAAATTACTGAAATACATAGTTCTTCAGAGAGGATTTCAGAGATAATTTTTTCTAAATGCTACATAATTTTATGAGACTACTGTGACACCAGATTCAGTTTATATTGGAAGCTATTGCAGGCTGTTCGGCTCTACCCATTCCACTATCAAGGAAAAAGGCTACCAAAAATACACAATTTTTGACAAAGGCATTCCTCTCATGGTTCAGCACGGAAGGCTGAAAATAAGGAGAGGTTACGGAGAGGATCATGTGATAAATTTCTTCCCTCCTGTGCTTTTTATGCAAGTCCTTTATTTCTAGAAATTACAGTACATCCATGTGCTTTTATTTATACATATTTAATACCTCTCTTGGCTACTTTTCAGGAACCAATTTTTAAAGGGTGACTCATTGAAAAAAATCAGTAATAGTCATTATCAACAAATTATAAAACCACCTTAAATCTAAACAATTTTAAACTGGACAAACTAAAATACTGTATTATAATACAAGTATAATAAAAGTGTAGTACAGCTCGAAGATATAGTCGCAGCATATTTAATAAAAACATTTCACTCTAAAGCAAAGATAACATGTCTTGTAAGTTTCCATTGGAAGCAGCTATAGAGAAAGCCAGCTATCTCTTTTTGATAATTCCATATGATAAGGAACGATTACAAAAGAGCTTTTCCACCCATGGCTGCCAACGTTTATGAACTTTATGGCCAACCAGTGATAAGGGCCTCAAAAATTATCTTAAGTATAATTTTCAAATCTCATGAAGTAATAGTTACCCTCTGTTTGGCACTGGCTAGGCCTCAAAAGTATTTTGTCCTGTTAAGAAGGATGCCAACAAAATGAAACAAGTTCAGAGGAGGGCAACAAGGAGGACCACATTTATCCTTGAGAAAAGAAAACTGAAGAGAGATATGACAGCACTCTTCAAATACTCGAAAGACAATCATACAGAAGAGGAGAAGGATCTGTTCTCAATCATCCCAGAGTGCAGGTCTGTCATGTTCCTGCCTGTCCCTTGGTTCTTTCACCAAGCCAAAGGCACAAGCTACGTGTCGTTCAGTTGTCACCAGTTGACTACATCACCTTTATTCACTGTTAATGACAGAGGTCAAGGCAACGTACAGTGGTGCCCTGCTAGATGGTTACCCCGCATGACGTCGAAATCGCTTGACAATGACATTTTTGCAATCGCAAAACAATGGTTCCAATGGGGGAAATCCGCTTTACGTTGATTAGGAGCCTGTTTTTTCCGGCTCCGCAAAATGGCTTCCCTCCCTTCTCAAAATGGCTGCTTTCCAGCTCCCCAAAATGGCTTCCCTCCCTTCTCAAAATGGCTGCTTTCCAGCTCCCCAAAATGGCTTCCCTCCCTTCTCAAAATGGCTGCTTTCCAGCTCCCCAAAATGGCTTCCCTCCCTTCTCAAAATGGCTGCTTTCCAGCTCCCCAAAATGGCTTCCCTCCCTTCTCAAAATGGCTGCTTTCCAGCTCCCCAAAATGGCTTCCCTCCCTTCTCAAAATGGCTGCTTTCCAGCTCCCCAAAATGGCTTCCCTCCCTTCTCAAAATGGCTGCTTTCCAGCTCCCCAAAATGGCTTCCCTCCCTTCTCAAAATGGCTGCTTTCCAGCTCCCCAAAATGGCTTCCCTCCCTTCTCAAAATGGCTGCTTTCCAGCTCCCCAAAATGGCTTCCCTCCCTTCTCAAAATGGCTGCTTTCCAGCTCCCCAAAATGGCTTCCCTCCCTTCTCAAAATGGCTGCTTTCCAGCTCCCCAAAATGGCTTCCCTCCCTTCTCAAAATGGCTGCTTTCCAGCTCCCCAAAATGGCTTCCCTCCCTTCTCAAAATGGCTGCTTTCCAGCTCCCCAAAATGGCTTCCCTCCCTTCTCAAAATGGCTGCTTTCCAGCTCCCCAAAATGGCTTCCCTCCCTTCTCAAAATGGCTGCTTTCCAGCTCCCCAAAATGGCTTCCCTCCCTTCTCAAAATGGCTGCTTTCCAGCTCCCCAAAATGGCTTCCCTCCCTTCTCAAAATGGCTGCTTTCCAGCTCCCCAAAATGGCTTCCCTCCCTTCTCAAAATGGCTGCTTTCCTTCCTATGCAGTATTTTTCTTTGCAGCATCGGACTTTCACTTCCACGCACATCCGCAGCTGAGCATCCTTTCGGCTTTTTCCCAACAACTCCATTAGCTCTGGAGCTACTTGTCCTTGTCCTCCGTTCTTCTTCAGTAGCATGTTGGACGCCTTTCGACCTGAGGGGCTCATCTTCCAGCATCATATCTTTTAGCCTTTTGTTTCTGTCCATTGAGTTTTCTTGGCAAAGATGCTGGAGTGGCATTGCCAGTTCCTGCTCCAGGTGGATCGCGTTTAGTCAGAACTCTCCACTATGACCTGTCCGTCTCGGGTGTCCCTGCACAGCATAGCCTATAGCTTCTCTGAATTACTCCAGCCCCTTTGCCACAACAAGGCAGCAACCTGTGAATATCATTAACTCTCACCTAAACAACCTTCTCTCTTCATTCTCAACCACCTATTCTCCTCTCTCTCTCTCTCTCCTTTTCTTCTCTTTCACCTAACTCTGCCCACACCAACTCCTATCGGTGCATGCAAATCTCATCATAAATAAGCAGAGTGAAGGCTACAAGGACATATAATAATGTGCTCAGGTTACAAGAAATCAGATTTTGGTTGACTTTCAGGAAAGATTTCTCAACTGCTAGAGCAGTATGGCAATGGAACCAATTACCTCAGACAGTGGTGAGCACTCCAACACTGGAGGCATTCAAGAGAAATTTAAACAACCATCTGTGAGATATAGTTGGATTTGGATTTCTACATTGAGCAGGCAGTTGAACTCAATGGTCTTATAATGCCTCTTCCAACGTCATTATTCTATGACTCTATGATTCTTAAAGCATAGGCAGTTTCATATAGATGTAAGTAATCCTTTGAATAATCTGGACCCAAGGAGGAAAGGGATTTAAAGCTAACACCAGAAATAATGTAATATGATTTGATAATCCATCCCTAACAAGGGCACGAGCAATCACATTCTGTTCAAACCTTTCCAAATCATCTTCATAGACAGTCCCACAAAGAGGGCATTACAATAAGCCACTTGGGTTGTAATTATAGAGTATATCACTGAGGCATGGTTCCCTGACTATCCAAACAAAGTTATTAAAGGGGGACTCTTGACTATTGCTGCCACCACATTACACATTCAGTGAGAAGTGCAGAATTATCCCCAAAGTAGACTGTGTTTTTCAGGAAAAGTGTATCCACAAGGTGATGAATCTTTCTTCACAATCTATACTGACTTCCCTACCCATACCACTGACTTTTAACATCTCAGAAGATGAAGGGACTTCCTCAAAGTCAGTACACTTTTCTGCACTTCTGCACATTTTCATTTGGCTTATAAAGGTAGCCCCTTAAACATGGAGCTTGATTTTTATTTTGTGCCAGCAGAGTTATCACTGCTTTTGTTTCTGACAAATTATAGTTCTAAAACATTATAGAATTTAAAAGCAGTTCAGAAGCACTTAAAAAAAAACAGGAAGCCCTTTGTTGAAGGCTGTTGATTTTGGCACTGTCACACAAAACTACATTATCCTTCTTTGGGCTCACAAGAATTATCCTTCTTGTGAGCCCAAAGAAAGATACAAAAAATCCCAGGGTTGAGGAAGGAATGCAGTTGAGAAAGAGTGTTCAGACCTGAGAGTATTGGCTATTCTCTTCCAATATTTAGACAAAAGAAAATGGGTCTGCCATTTACAGTTTACTACAGGGAGAGGATAACCTGTGCTCTCCATGTATTATTGAAATATAACTCTGATTACATTTTCCCTGATTATTATCTATGCTGGGTAAGGCTGATGGAAACTGCAGTTTTATGGCATCTGGAGGGTCACAAGTTGTTCACTCTCTTCTAATGTGAGGCTGCATTTCGGATTATGTTATCTACGTAAAACACGCCTACCTCGATGCACTTCAAATTAAACTTCTGGGGTCATTTGCAACAGCTTATTTTTGAAAAAACCAATCATTATTAATAAGATTATTCTTACAAATATATGAAGCAATAAAAATATTGCTAATTGCAATTCCAAAAGAAAGAATACATCACAAGTTAAAAGCTGGGAAAATAAAAAAATGTCTCTACTTGATTCCTAAAAGCCATTAACACAACATCCAAGGACACGTCTCTCTTTGATATTCACACAGCTCCATCGTCTAAGTTCACTTGTTTTTCTCTGGTAAATACATGCACACAATCTTTCACAATCAGCTCCTTACACTTGAAAGAGGCTTGCAGAACATCTGCAAAATGCTATCATCCTCTTAGAACTGCAGAGCTGGAAGGGACTCTCTGGATTATCAAGTCCAGCCCTTGTCAAGAGGCACAGTGGAGAATCGAACTCCCAACGTCTGGATTCATAGCCAGAGACCTAAACCACTACAATCCTATACAAACCTTTTTTTTTTTGACTTAGATACCGCCCCATAGCGCTACAAGCACTCTCCGGGCGGTTTACAATTTAATTACACAGGCTACACATTGGCCCCCCAGCAAGCTGGGTACTCATTTTACCGACCTCATACATGCACACAATCTTTCACAATCAGCTCCTTACACTTGAAAGAGGCTTGCAGAACATCTGCAAAATGCTATCATCCTCTTAGAACTGCAGAGCTGGAAGGGACCCTCTGGATTATCAAGTCCAGCCCTTGTCAAGAGGCACAGTGGAGAATCGAACTCCCAACGTCTGGCTTCATAGCCAGAGACCTAAACCACTACAATCCTATACAAACTTACTTGGGAAGCAGTCTCAATGAATGCAATATGAGGTAAGGTTCCACAGGTACCATCCTGTGGCCCTCTACACAGTCCTGGAGTTCCTATCAACTCCAGCTAACTTGGCATCATAGGAGTACAGTACTGTAGTTGTGGAACAACTCTCATCCAAGACTGCAGCCTTTATTCAAGATGCAACTGAAACAAAATTCTATCTGTCTCTGCCTCCATCTCTATTCTCCTCTTCTGCTATCTCATCTGTATTCATATTCAGACTACAAACTCCCTAGGAAAGAATCTATTCTTTTCTACTCTGTGAAGCACCATGCATATAGACAGCACTGTATAAATAATAATAATAACATCAACAACTACAATTATCTTAATGATTGGGAATCCAAATGCCACATTGAACAATCCAGGTTCCATAAATGATGTCACTGAATGCAAGAATATATATGACAATAATTTAAAATATCTATCTCTTCATAAAACTAAGCAAAGAAGAAAAGTCGCAGCTTTCTCCTAACACAGACCTCCACTTTGGAGTGAAAACTAGAACATGGTGACCTCAATGCAAACTTGTGATTAGTGACACGCTGGTGACTCAGAGCTTAATTTGCTTTCAGCTTCTTCTCTGTTAAAAATTATGTAACTTTGGGAAAGTATTTTGGTCCAAATTCTTAGGCAGAGGCTGTCACTTCTTACATCCCCCCCAATTCCATTCTGAAAAAAAAAAGTTTTTAACATCTAAATGCTGATGGTGAAAATAATAATAAAATGTGCTTGGTTCAGGCTGCTGAGGCTGCTAGCAAATATCCAAAGGGAAGGGGAAATACTGTCATCTCATGAATACATTTCATTTTAAGGGTGGCCCAGCCCACCTGAGGCAATGCTCCTGAACGGCGGAGAAGAGCATGATGTCCCTACTCTTATATATACACTTCGCGCAGTTATATAACCACCCAACCCTATATTTGCAATGTCTCTCCCTGGGAGTGTTTTTTTTAGTGGGCACCGAAGGTATAGCCACAAATGCACAAGAAACATACGCACCAGAAAACATTTGGCAGGTTGACAGCTCCAGGGATCAGAGCACCCAAGCTGAGAGCGATCACGTCACACACACACACATAACGCACACACGGGAGGAAAAACGGCCAGCACACGCCTAAGCAACCTGGCACAGCTTGGCTCGCCCATCTTTCCTCCCGCACGCGCCAGGATGGGTCCACACACCCCCAGAGCCCCCCCCCACAGCCTGGGTGCGCGATCATCTAAACGAGGGAGCCCATCCTGACCGGCACTGGAGGGCGGCCCGAGGCTCAGCAGCAGCGGTGCCCTCCAAAGAGGGTGAGGTCCCCCGGTTCGAGTAGCGCAAGGCGCGGGGATTGGCGCCCCGAGAGATGCGCTGCCTATCCTCCATCCTTCCAATCAGCCTAAACAAGGCAGTCACAGAGTGTGTTTGGGGGTAAGGGGGCGGGGGGGGCCGTAGGGTTGGCTTTTTCCTCTTCCTTTCGCAAAGCGAAGGCGCCGAGAGGAGAAGCTCCTCCGCAGTGGAGCAAGCCCGCAGAAAAGCTCGGGTGCTGTTTGGTCCCGGAGCTTAAAGGGCAAGGCAGGAGCTTACCTGAGGAGGAGGAGGAGGAAGGCAGGCAATAGCTGGTCGTGGGCCAGGCCCCTCTCTTTCCTTCTGCCGGCCCGCGCGGTGCGTCCAAGCGCGCCAAACTTCTCCCCGACCCGTCCGGCTCGCTCCCGCGGCGCTGTCGTGGTTCCGGAGGGAGGGAGAGAAGGGGGAAGCGCGCGACCGGGCGCGCGCCTTAAAGGGGGCGCGCGGCACCGAGACGGGGCCGGCGGAAGTGAGCGGGGTCTGCGCTCCTTTGGGCGGCCAGCGTGTGAAGGCGGACGCCGCGGGAAGCACGTGGGCCGCCTGGGCTTGCGCCCTGACAGACCGCGGCGAGGGCGGAGAAGCGGCCGGTGGGCTTCGGGGTCGGCCGGAGCGTGACTGCCCCCCCTGCTTCGTCTTCTTCTTCCTCTCTTTCTCCTTCCATGCTGTCCTTGGGCGTTTCTGTGGGCCGAAACTGGAGCAGGTACTGTACTCTGTGCAAGGCGGACAGAGAGAGACAGACAGACAGCCCGCCCTCACCTGCAAGATATCGGTTGGCACCGGGGAGGGGTCGCGTCTGAAGGACCGCGGGCGGAGGCTGCCCGCATTTTTCCTCCGCTGCACACACTGCAGTCTCTTTTGTTTGCAAGGGCTGAGGCAGGGAAAGGCGTTCTGTGTCAGGGCCCTTCTCTCTCTGAGGTAGGTAGCCATGTGGAAAAATCACCCCTCGTGTATATGTAGCTGCCAACAAAAACCGCTGCCTCTTGCGCAAAAGAAACACAGTCCACTGGTCTCTGTACCTGGCAGGGTGGATAAAAATCAGTGATTTTTTTTAAAATCAAATTGATTTAGATCACGAAAGCGCACAGGCTTGTCTCTTCATGCACTGGCTTCCACCACCTGGCAGAATGAATAAAAATAAATGATTTTTAAAAAAATCAAATTGATTTCATGAAAATGCACCATCTTGTCTCTTTTCTTATATGGGCTTCACCTGGTTTCTCTTGTTTTCACCCTAAAATCCTCACAATTGAAAGAGGACCTTTGCCGAGGGTGTTTTAGTCCTGCTTTTTAAAACAAACCCAAACTTAAAGTGAAATAATTGGCAATTTTGTGAAAAATAACTGCCCCCATGTCAGTTTTTTTGAATGTAAAAGGACACCTAACCCCAAAGATAATTGTGTTGACCAGTGAGGTGTGTGTGTGCAAAGTCCACTGTTGAAGGGGGGTTGTTTAATGCCCAGCCAAAGCTTCTTTGCACACTTTTGTAGTATTTTTGGTAGGTCCTAAATAAAGGTATTTCCAGCTGTGGATTTCCTCAGTATTCACCACCCTTTCTCACCTGTAGGTGCTGGAGCTTCATTTTACAAAGGCTCATAGAACGTGATGGAATCTGTCAAAGTTACAAAGAAGCAGCTTGAGAGTATGTTTATTGTTATCTTAACTTTTAAGGGCAGCATCCTGCAGCATAATTTTGGATGATCCAGTAAATATTTGGATTCGTTTCATCCATATATAATAATTGTATTAACCTAGATTTCTAGATAGATTTTTTTAAAAACAATTCAGCGTATGCCTTATTAGCAGTAAATCACATTGCAAAGTCCTACCTGCTGAGTTCACTGGATTGCAACTTTGAGAGGAACAGGAAACTATATAACACCTAAATAGGCACCAAGTAAATGAGAAATTGCCAGTAGAATCTGCTGGCTTTTGGGGATTAACTTTAACTAGTGGTTTTATTTTATTTTGCTTCTTTCCTGTCTCTACATGTTTTTATCACCTAGCCTGATGGGAGAACTCAAAAGCTTGCATACTTTTTGACATGTTAGTTCATCCTCACAAAGGCAGTTCTCAGCTGTGGGTTATGTTACTTTTGTTTTTGAAATGTGATACACTTTGTCATAGAATATAATCCAGGTCAGGAATAAAGGGATTTAAGTCAGGAAAAATTAGTAGTAACTGATCAGTAAAATTATTGATTTGCCTAATGTGTGTATTTTGGAATTGATTTCTTGAAATGTACCTGGCTGTTTTTGGTAAACGCATCTCATGTTTGGTATGTGCTGGAAAGTTCTGCAAAGCTATTATTCTTGCTTGTGATTTGAGCAGCCAAACTATTTGCTTTTAGCAGGCAGTAATAATATTGGTTGCTAGAGATTTATACAGGAATATAAATAATGTCAAGGGATTACAAAAAAGACTCAGGTCTTACTCTTCTAAGAAATGTGCCTTAATATAAGGATCCAAGTTGGTTTTAGCCGTTGTTTAAGTACATCTGTGTCTTTAATCTAAAATTATATTGTATTTTATCATTCCTATGATGATATATGTACACTTGTCTGAAAACTGTAGTACATGTATTAGGGGGTTTAGGTGCATCTAGGTCAACACAAGTCTGCTTAGGATATGGCAATAAATCACTGCATGATAAATACAGTATCTGAGACATGAGTGACTGATACATACACCCTACAGGAGAATTTATAGACGTTCATAAAGTCCCTTGAGTTTGACACTTAATTAAAATTTAATTTCTACAAGAGACATAAATAATGGATGTTGCTTGTTTTCCGGAAGCTGCTGTTTGTATCTTCAAGCAGTGCCTCTGTTACAAATCCACATGAGCGGTTACTTTTGGGTATTGTGTGTTAGAGACCAGAATGAGTTGCCTACTGTACTTTTAAGTGTCTAATAAATACTTAGACTATGTATTATGTAGTACTGTATCTGATAATTTTGACTGGCCATCTTCATGATTATTTCCATGATGCTCTGATTAACTGCATGATGAAAAAACACAAGCCTTTCAAATGTAGTTGACAATATTTGAAAGTATGTGCCAGTTAAAACTTTTAAGTTCTTACGGTGCGAACAAGACTGTTTATCCTTTTTCAAAAATTGCTGTGAGTTTTCTGGCACAGTGTGATCCTATTGCTAACTAATGTTCTGCTTTGAAACCCAAACCAAATCAGCAGTTTTGCTGTACATAGCCTTTGGTCACCTTAGGATGATCTTAGAATCTTCAGGGTGCAACATCTTCCATAAGTTATCCCAGCTGTCTTTCAAAGGCATAGAAATCCTGCATTAAAATTTTTTGGCAAACTCCTTGCTTCTGTGGTATTGTCAGAACCACTTCTACTGCAGGTGTTGTTCAGTAAAAATGTGCTGTGTTAATTATGTGTTTAGGTGAGTGCTCTCTCCCTCATGTCTTCATGATTTGGGCATTGCAGTGAAGGACTGTGGGTACCTCCTCACCTTTCCACAGATGAGGGCTACATCTTGCTTATAGCTCTGTGGAGGGATCACAGGCTTGACAGAACTATAAAGAGTGATGTCCTAACAACAGAAGCAGCTGAAAAATTAGAGCAGGGAGTTGCAGCACCTCAAAATTTCTGCTCAGCTATCTCTTGTGATACCTCTTCTGGCAATTATTGTTGATGTGACATAAACCTAATGTTGTTGCTCTCATGTACTGGCAATATAGATTTTTTAAAATCAAGGTTTGCCAGCCTTGTAAAATGAAGCTCAGTTCATTTAATAATTTTTTCCCTTTGGCATGGGGTGGAAGGCTTCCCCTCCGCCAGGGGTATTTCCAATATCAGGGTGATTTCAGACAGAGGGAGATATGGTGTAGGTGGAGTTGCCATTCGTTCCAGAAGAACAGATGCTTGAAATTTGTTCACTGTTCTGACCTCCTGCTAGACTCGAGGTAGTCAACTCAGCTGGCCCTCCACTCTAAATGTGGTGTTGTTGAATGCCAGATCCATATCAAATAAATTCCAGATTATACAAGACCTGATTCTGGAAGAGGATGCAGATCTGGCATGCATAACCAAAACATGGATGGGCAGGGAAGGGGGTGTTTCCCTGACTTTTGCCTTATCCTCCCAGTTATGCAGTCCAACATGAGGGTAGACTGGAGGGTCGGGAGGAGTAGCCATTGTGTACAAGAACACCCTGCAGGTTGTTAGTGGTGGCGCTCTGTGGTGGCGATGCCAGGTCTGGAGGTCCTCCGTGTGTCGATTGGGGCCAGGGATGGTATTGGGATCTTGCTGGATTACCGTGCTCCCCACAATCCAGCCATTTCCTTACAGGATCTGGCGGACTTCATCTTCATGGCTCTGCTGCAGTCCTCGAGGCTTTTGGTCTTGGGTGACTTCAACATACATGCGGAAGTGGAGGTTTCCAGTCTGGCTCTTGAGTTCTTGGAGACCACAGCCTCCTTGAATATGTCCTAACATATCAATGGCCCCACCCACGTGGGTGGCCATTCACTGGACCTGGAGTTCTCCACCAAGCAGAGTGAGTATGGTCCAATGGTGACTGACCTAGTGTCTGTCCCCTTGCCATGGTTGGATCACCACCTGATTAAATGCAACTTTATAGTGGCTCTTCCTCCCCACGGGGAGCAAGGACCTGTTTTAATAGTTCGCCCTCGAAGGTTACTGGATCCTATAGGCATCCAGGATATCATGAGAGGGATTCCGGCTGATTTGACTGGTGCTCCTTTCGAGGCTCTGGTTGATAGCTGGCTTGCTGCCGCCGCCAGGGCTGTTGACACGATCACACCTAAACGCCCTCTCTGGCGCAGAGATCTTCCTTTGCCCTGGTTTAACTAGGAGCTGCGATCAGTGAAGCTAAATAGGAGAAGGCTACAACGCATATGGAGGCGGAACCCGACAGAAAATAATCAAATAGCTGTCAGGATCGTGACTAACCTTTACCAATCTAAGGTGAAGGCTGCCAGTCGATCTTACTTTGCTATCCGGATAAGCGAAGCTTCCAATCAGCAGGCGGAACTCTTCCGTATAGTCCACGATCTATCCGGAGTTGGTCATAGTGACTGGCCTCCCACTAGCATCTCACCTGCCCAATTTGCAGCCTTTTTAAAATAAAAAATGGAGGCCATCCACCAGGATCTTACCTCCTATTTGAAAACAGTGGATTGAGCAGAGACATCCAGTGCTCTGTCTTGCCTGATGAGATTTAACCACTTTCATCCTGTGACGTCAGACATGGTGGACAGAGTGCTTGATCACTGCCGCGTCACCACCTCCTCCCTTGACCCTTGTCCGGCCTGGCTAATCAAAGCAGCCAGGCCTATAACATTTGAATGGGTTACGGCAGTGGTCCCCAACCTTGGGCCTCCAGATGTTCTTGGACTTCAACTTCAACTCCCAGAAATCCTGGCCAGCAGAGGTGGTGGTGAAGGTTTCTGGGAGATGTAGTCCAAGAACATGTGGAGGCCCAAGGTTGGGGACCACTGGGTTACGGCAATAATTAATGGGTCTCTATTAGGAAGAAACCAGGCTTGGCGGCGGACGATAGTGGTAATGGGGCTAGGCAGTTGAGAGGGTGGTGGCTGACCAGTTGCAGGCTCTTCTGGATGAAACAATGCCCTGTATCCATTCCAGTCAGATTTCGGGTTGTGCCACAGCATGGAAACAGCATTGGTCATAGCATTGACCGCCCTGTTTGATAACCTATTAAGGGAGGCTGACAGGGGCAAAATGTCTCTGCTGGTCTTCCGCAATATCTCAGCCGCCTCTGATACTGTCGACCACAGTATCTTCATGGGGAGGCTCTTCGAGTTTGGAATTGGTGGCCTAGCTTTTTCCTTGCTCCGTTCCTTCTTGGTGGATCGTCCCTAGAGAGTGCAGATTGGAGAGAGCTGGTATCTTCGTGGGGAGGCTCTTCGAGTTGGGAATTGGTGGCCTAGCTTTTGCCTTGCTCTGTTCCTTCTTGGTGGATCATCCCTAGAGAGTGCAGATTGGAGAGAGCTTTTCAGCCCCATGGAGCCTCAATTGTAGGGTTCCGCAGGGCTGGATCATCTCTCCAATGCTGTTTTAACATCTATATGAGGCCGCTGGTAGGGTCATTAGGGGATATGGGGCTTCGCGTTATCAGTATGCAGATAATACTCAGCTCTACATCTCCTTTTTTCCAACAAGAGTGGATGCTGTTTCGTCCCTTGAGTGCCTCCTCCCACCCAGTTCTGCCAGAGTCACACGTTCCAGCCAGCCCGGAGGGGCCTAATGCCGAAGGAGTTCCGGAAGGAACGAACGAGGAACCGGTCCTTCTCAGCAATGGCCCCTCGCTTCTGGAACAACTTGCCCATGGAGATCCACCTGGTTCCCTCTCTGGGTGTCTTCAGGAGTAAAGTTAAGACCTCGTTATTTGGGCAGGCTTTCCTTCCTGCCGTATCTTAAATTCTATATTTTTGCCATCTTGGATTTATGTTTATTGGTCCAACTGTTTTTACATTTGTAATGCCGCCCGAGTAGACCTTTGGTCTAGCTGGGCGGGGTAGAAATCTAATAAAATAAACAAACAAATAAATAAATTTAAGACAGTTACTGTAGGGTGGATGGTTTGTCTATCCAGAAAAGGATATGCAAACAAATAAATAAATAAAAGTAAGACAGTTACTGTGGGATGGATGGTTTGTCTATCCAGAAAAGGATATTTATCTTATCATAAAAAGGACAAATGGTTTGTACCTGAGTGCATGTGGGCAAGGGGATTCCTGAGTGCTTCTTTCTTATTAAAAATACAGATTGATTTTGCAGACTAAGAGTGTATTCTGTCGGCCTAGCCTAACATGCCACCTAATCTAGGATAGCCAAGCCTTCAGGAGCCATATATTTGCAGTAAATTCAAAATAAGATTAACATAATGGCCTGTGTAAAGCTGTTTTTGAAGTCCACCCAGAGATTACAATTCAGAATGCAAACCTGGATTACTAAAAGGGATTGGGTGTTGTGATGGTATGGCTCTGATGCTGCCACAATTGTATGGGCTCCCATTGTGTTTCCAGGCACAATTCAGAAAGTTATTGATTTTCAAAGCTCTTTATGACTTAGGACCTCCTGGCTCAATTTACGCCTACCTGTAGATTAAGGTAATTAGTGTTGGTACATATTTTGAAATATCAAATGTGGAACTGGGTACATTTTCATTAGAATACCTATGTTTATTTAGTCCTTGTAATTTATATTGAAAATATGAAAAATTGAAGGACAAGTCATCTGCAGACAGCAAACAAAACTTTTAGAAGAGTATTGGTGTGGGGGAAGAAGATAACAAGAATGACAGACACAGAACTGTTAACTTAAAATCATCTCGTATTTATAGGTTTTGCTTCAAAATTCATACTTGTGATGCAGTTTTCCTGCACATCATCAAATTCTACCATCTCCACTGCTTTTGACTTTGCTTAATGACACTTGCCGTTCAGTAGAATAATTTCACTTTTTAATCACAGTATTCCTCAGAAAATACTTTCCTGATCTAGTTTTCTTTTTATCTTACACCTCATTCTTTATCAAAATGTTCCAGTATATAAAATGTCATAACATTAGATCTTTATATATATTTTTTGTTCTAATATTTGATCTGATCACGTATTCCAGGTGGCAAGTTATTTCCATTATGTTTAGGCTTTTTCCTATGCTGCATAGGAATATACAGTATTCCTTATATATTCCTTAAATTGCTCTGCTGTCATTTTGGTTTCCTTTTTAATTGTAGAGCTGGTGGCCCAAGAATTTTATTCAAAATGACATTAGGAACAGAGATTACTACCCTTCTGAAGGCTTCTTCCTGTAGTGCAGCAGACCGAAACTTTCTGAAATGGGATTTGCCACCAGAGCAGATTAAAACAAGAACTGAGGAACTAATCAAGAAAACAAAGCAGGTCTATGACAGTGTTGGGATGCTTGATATGGATACAGTCACTTATGAGAATACTGTACAAACTCTAGCAGATATAGAAGTTGAGTATTCAGGTAAGTGTGGCGTGTCTAATATCAGTCTTGGAAGGAAAGAACTAAATCTGAATTGTCAGCTGTGAAAAACATATTTTTAAGTAAGCCTGCTTAGAGCTCTACAGAGAAGCAATAGGCATAGTGGGCTGTTAACCTATTTATATACTGTACTTCATAGTAAGAAATCTATTTTCTGGTACATGTCATTGTAGTTATTTCAAATGATGTAGTTATGTCAGTGGTCTACTCTACACCATTTGGAGAATGGATGATTCAAGATTGTTTATGCATATGAACAAGCTTTGGCTTCTATGTTACTTGGTTATTATTGCTTATTATTAACTTTTTACATGACATTCTTCTGTCTAAGAACACACAGTATGACTGGAATCATAATGAGAAAAAAAGCATTAAAACATATAACAAACATAAAAATCTAAAACAGCAAAAATGCTTCACATGAATGGTGAAAACACCAACAAAAATTAACAATATCTAAAGGCCTGTGAAAATAATTCTACCTTACATCCCTTCCTAAATCCCTGTAAGGGCTTATATTTTATTGGGACATATATTCTCTGTCGTGCCACAGACAAAATTAATAAAAGCAGCTATTTAGCAAGTGTATTCTGTCCTTTTTTTTCTGAAAAGCTAACTTCTTATCTGACTTCTTTTATTATAAGAGAGAACCAGATTGTTCTTGTGCTGGCTTCATAGTATTTACAAGTCTATGTAATTTTTAACTTCATAAAAAATCAAGTCCTATAAAATTTAATTATGTCATTGTTTCCATATTGGAGAAGTCTCTGCCTCCAAAAATCCTACGATGAGATGGCCTGTACTATTATCCAGTGAATTTTATTTGTCTTCTTGTAGTGGAAAGAAGCATGTTGGATTTCCCGCAGCATATCTCACCTGATAAAGATGTGCGTGCAGCAAGCACTGAAGCCGATAAAAAGCTGTCTCATTTTGATGTTGAGATGAGTATGAGAGAGGATGTTTTCCAAAGAATTGTCCATTTCCAGGTAACTGAAAATAAAATAAGTTATCAGGCATTTGCACAGATGTTTACGATGCCAAGCTCTGCAATTAAGTTTATATTTTCAATAGTTTTCAGCATCCCTAACAATTTTTAACATTAAAAATGATGGGGGGGCAGGATTATGTCTGACCTTTTCTATGAGAAAGAGTGACAAAATGTTTAGCAACTTATTATTGGTGTAAAAATAAATGACCCACAGTCCACATAGCCACAGTATTCAGGGAGACACATAGTTTGCAACTGAACCATTTCATTCAGCTGAACTTCAGTTTATTCAAAATTCCGTTCCACGCTTTTGAAGATATACTTTCCTTATGTCCAAACATCATGCAAGGAGACAAGTTGAAAGACACCAGGAATACAAACACATAATAATAAAGAACTGACAGAAATACTTCTAGCAGTGACCATGGAAAAAAGAGGGACGTATTAGTTGAATTCAGTTTGTTCTGCCATGTACTAGGCTTAGTGAAACAAAAATGCATTTTCTTTTCATTTGCTAGATCAGTGGTTCTTAACCTTTTTATTCATTCATTCATTCATTCATTCATTCATTCATTCATTCATTCATTTAGGCTTAGTGAAACAAAAATGCATTTTCTTTTCATTTGCTAGATGACTTCACCAGTGTGCAACTGAAGATGAAGCAGGTTAAACTGTTAAGATTCATGAAAGGAGCTCCTTCCTGGTTCCTTTGTGCAACTTGATTTGTATTATTTTGCAAGACATTCAGCTTGGCTTAGGGGACTAAAACTTTTGTCCCCTTTTTGGTTTTCATCCTTGTAAAATGAGATTTTATTTAAAAATCTAGAAGAAATATAATAATAATATGGGCATCCTGTTTTTCAGTTTTCAAAGGCCATAGGACAATTTATTTTATTTTTTATTTTATTTAATTTATATCCCGCCTATCTAGTCACGATGGACTACTCTAGGCGGCCAATGTACAGTTGTGTTTCTGATTTCCAAGGGCCAAAGTAATTTGTATTTACAAGGTTTGAAAAATAGACTTTAAATATAGATGGATACAACTTCAGCTTTAAATCTCACCAGAATTTTGCATTGTGAATAGAGGATTAAGCCTTGAGCATTCTTTGCTCACATATATAAAATGAATGGGTATGAACTGCCGCTTTTCCTTGCCTTTTGAAAAGGCACAGAGCTTAGCAAAAAGGAAGAGAACAACGACTCCCCTTCCTTTTTGCTAAGCCCTGTTCCTTCGCAAAAGGCAGTGGTTAAGAGCTGCCTTCCATGTATAAATCAATTTTTTCTCAAATTAATTAAGGAAAAAGTGTCATTTTATGCACAGAAAAATACAGTAATTTGTTCCGGGATGATATTCGTAACTCAAGTTGGTCGTAACGGATATTTTTGATTGTATCTCAAGGCATTAGCTGTATCTCGTTGTATCTCAAAGCGTTAGTTCCCATAAGAACTAATGCAAAAGCGACATTCGCTGTATCTCGTTGTATCTCAAAGCATTAGTTCCCATAAGAACTAATGCAAAAGCGGTTAATCCGTCCACTAGGGGAAACTTGTTTTTAACCTAAGATGACCTCTAATGTAAAAAAAGGGCAGGAAAGGAGGGAGGGAGAGAGCCTTTTTTTCAGTCATATCTCAAAGCAACAGTCACAAGTCAAAGCAAAATTTTGAGCAAAATTTAAAACTGGAATAGCATAGTAAAAATCCCAGCATCTTATTTCATATATATTTTTAAAGCCAAAAATTCATTGAGATTAATTTTTTTCAGATATAACACATTTATGATGAATTTCTAAAGTATCATTAAGTATGGAAATAGAATTGAATGGACCAGACAAAAATAAAATGTTATTGTCTGCATCTAAATTGATATTGTATTTGTTTACTACTGTTTTTAAAATTTTGAATACAGTCTGATCATATTTCCCATTCACAAATTGTTAACTCTCTTTGTTCAATTAACATTCTGGCTGGAATCAAGAATGATCCAAAGATCTAGGCCTAACTTCACCTAAACATCTTGTTCCTGTCCCAGTCCTAGCTGGGTACTTTCTTTCTGAACTGGAAACTAGGTGGAGCTAGGCCTAGGCAGACCTCAGAGCCTTCCAGGCCTTTCTCCTTGGTGAACCACGTTTAAGTAAGATATCAGTATGTCAGGTAGAACTCCCAGAATGGGAAAATATGGGATTTGTAGTCCAAAAACGTCCAAAAGTTCATCCCTATAATATGACTGGTTAATCAGGATCATATTAACTGTGATTGATGGATTGGGAATATAATCTGAAATAGACTGATTATTGTGACTGTTCTCAATCACATTTCTGATTAAACTAACCAGACAGACGATATTTGGGAGGGTTATAGTACGTTTTCTCCAGTAAACTTTATCTCTAAAATCTACTGGGGTTTTTTGTGGTTTTATATATTATCTTGAACACCATCCAGTCACTCTATTAGTGGTTTGTCTGCAGTTTCTCTTTCTGGCAGAGGCTGTCCTGTTTAACAAAGGTAGGGATAACATGTGTTCTCACTAGCCTTGAGCAGAAGAGGAAAATACAATGTTTTGTTTGCAAGCTTTGAATGGAATTGGAGATAGATATTCAAGAATTAAACATGTAGTACTCTCAAAGCATAAATCTTCTTTCAAGTTGCTTAGCTCTGTTGCATTCTGGTGATAAATATTTGGATTTTTTTAAAATTTTATTTTCAAAGCTATTGGGTAATGGTAAAGTTATTTTTGGGGGATTACAATTCTAGATTTACATGTCCAGTATGGAAATTGCTGACTGGTAGATTCAGGGAGCTGTAGTCTGAAAAGTAACTTCTCCCACCTGTAGATGGTATCCCTACTGATTCCTTTACAAATATTTCAAAGCATATTTTCATAGATTTCAGCCTAGTCCAGTTAAATAGAAATTTCTCAAAAATCCTTTTATCATTGAATAAATGTGTGGCGCAGCAATTGTAATATGACATTTATTATTTGTGCTTAATGTTTGCTACAGTGCAGGGACCAGTCACACTAGTTCCCTCACCAAACGTGGGCCTTGCTATCCATACACTACAGCCCACCCCGCCCTCATTTGTGGAGGGCAATTCCGCCCACACATCCAGTCTTTTAGGCTGAGGGGTACTTTCTTCCAAAATCAGAAGTCACTTAGAACAGATTAGGAACAGCAAACATATTTGTGAAATTTCTTTTTGAACAAATAAAGGGTGAAAGGGACTTCCTCAAATAGATAAATAGATTAGATGGAGGATATATATTTATATATTTTTGGGACTGATGGACATGGGAACAGGGGTGACCTTTTAAAATCTAGGCGTGGCCTTGGATTACACTGAGACCTTTGGAAGTTGGCTACCCCAACTCTAATGGAAAAGCTCAGTAGGGCTTGGTGGATGTCAAGCCTCACTCTCAGGTTCAGAGAAAACCAATATTAACCTATTATCTTGGATTAGCCAAAACATTGTTTCTTTACTTTCCATCAGTTCTAAGCATGTTCATGAAGCAGAGGAGCAGCGACTATATTGCTTATACAAGTATATAGATTACACAGATTTTTAAAAATTCATTCTCAATTTAGATATACATTAGTTTCCAATAATTAATTAGATTCTGGCACAAACTCATGAGGTGGTCTTAAAAGAAATTACTATATCTTAGTCTTTATCTTCATCTGCTGTGTACTGGCCTGCATTGTTGGGTTTATGTGAGGAGGATCCCTGAAAATGCAAAAATGCTTTTTGACAGTATTAATTTCTTTCAAAAATAAACTTGCTTTCTTGGTATATAGCCAAATTTAAATCCCTGCATTATGAAATCAGTGCAATAATCTGTTGGCATGGGGACAACTCCAAAGGCTTGATGTGGTGTTTGCCTCTCACAAAGGTTGGAGTCAAATGTGGATAGTGAAGCTTCCAAGAGCACTCTGTTAGGGAAAACAAACCTTGGAACCCAAGATAACAAGTTACACAGAGTCTCTTATCTGGTAGCTTCAAATCCTCCCCTTAATAAGCAGAGTAAAGACATGGACGTATGAGAATATGCACGGAGAGAGTTCTGATAAGACTTATAATATATCAGACTTGGTCAGACATATATATATGGCAATATATACATTGGCATAGATCTCTCAGAGCAACATAACATTCATAGAAGTAATGATCACCAGACTCACAACTAAGTGGTGAAGTGCTGTTCTTGCTCACTTGCTTAAATAGTGAGAGCAGCCTATCAATATAGACATAGTAGGTGAACGTGGTTGGCAAGCATTACCTAAGCTTGTCCCATCTGTATGCTATCAGTCATCCATTGACTTGACTTTACTGGCGTGACTTTGCATTTTCACTACAATATTAAATTTAACCTCTTGTTCACTTAAAGGAACAAATCCTGACAGAATCCATATTTTTGCAAGATGAAATTAAGGTGTTATTTTATTTTTACATAACAAAAGGTGTTTATCATAGGGTTGCATCTAGTATTATACAATTGGACTTAAGTTTCCTTGGTCGGATTTTTCCTGCCCTTAGCCCCAATCTCTGGAACAGATTGAAAGATTTGAAAGGAAGAGTGGGAATTCATTTTACTAGAAGCCAAACACTGCTGAACATAATCCACATTGTGTAAACGTGTTTCTTTTGCATTTTTTGTTCTTCTGATATTGGACAAAGAAGGAATGTTCTCTTTAAATAGGGCTTAGTGACATATGCCAAACTATAAAACCATTCTGTAGCACAAATGAAGTTCTTGTTATTCATGTAATGCTTACTGAGGTTTTAGGTAAAGGTAAAGGTTCCCCTTGACAATTTTTGTCCAGTTGTGTTCGACTCTAGGGGGCGGTGCTCATCCCCATTTCCAAGTCATAGAGCCAGCGTTTGTCCGAAGACAATCTTCCGTGGTCACATGGCCAGTGCGACTTAAACACAGAATGCTGTTACCTTCCCACCGAGGTGGTCCCTATTAATCTACTCGCATTTGCATGCTTTCGAACTGCTAGGTTGGCGGGAGCTGGGACAAGTGACGGGTGCTCACTCCGTCACGTGGATTCGATCTTACGACTGCTTGGTCTTCTGATCCTGCAGCACAGGCTTCTGCGGTTTAGCCCACAGCGCCACCACGTCCCTACCTACTGAGGTTTTAATATGCTGCAAAATGGGTAAATCTTATTGTGTATTTGCCTTTCAGCAAACATATGACATTAAAGCTTTAAAGCCCGAAGCCAAAAGATATTTAGAAAAGTCAATAAAAATGGGAAAAAGGAACGGGCTTCACCTTCCTATAGAAGTACGAAATGTAAGTGTAACTTAATTCAGAATTTAAGAAAAAGACTTAATAAGCATAGTGTGTGATTTCAATTTGTTTTTCTGCTTTTACAAACTTACATTACAATTCTGTTTATGTCTGTTCAGAAGCAAGTTCCATTGTTTCAATAGGACTGTTTCGCAAGTAAGTATTTATAGGTTTGTAGTCTTAGTGTTAAAACAAGAACATTTAAAAGGAAAATGATTTTGTATCCAATAATATGAAAAGAAAATGATTTTGTATTAGAACTATCTATCTGGCAAAAAATTGTTTCTTAAAAATTCTGCATAACATTTGGAAATATAATTTATCTTAAGGTGCAGAAGCTTTATTATTTATTTATTTATTTATTGTATCGTATGTGTTTGTTTATTAATAACAGGCGCCTTTGCTACATTTCTCCCCTTTTTCTTTCCTCATGGGCACCACTAAATATTATCTTGTTTATTACATTTATATTATACCTTTTTCTCCAAGAATCTCCTGTAAAATGTCTGTGAGATCCCGCCCTTGCCATTCAGTATGCTGGACTTATTATTCCTTTCCGTTTAATGTGCCCTTCCATTTCTGTCCTTGCAACAACTCTGTGTAGCTAGGCTGAGAGGAGTGGTCTCGTCATAGTCACTTAGTGAGTCTCTTGCTTGATTAGTTCTGAATTTGGGTCTCCCCAGATCCTACATTGCATTAAAAACAACTTTTTGCTTGCCATGTTCATATTTAAGATATTTCAAATGTATTTTTTTATAGTCATGAGACTAATGTATTGTGTCGCCATATTGTTTATGCATGTAATTTCTTGTTATTGTGGAATACTGTAAATTTTAAGTTTGTGTAAATTGCCTAGTATAGTGCTTGCACTAATGGAGTGGTATAGAAATTGGATAGATAAAACAAATAAAATGGAAATATTAGCAAGCACTATTTTAAATGTGGAAGTATGCCTTGCACATAGACACTTTAAATCTTCCATAGACACTTTAAATCTGTCTATCTGAAGATATACTAACAGAAATCATCATGATACAGTGGTGCCCTGCATAGCGACGTTAATCCGTTCCGGATTAATCATCACTATGCCGAAACATCGCTAAACGGAATGTTTAATGCGTTCCTATGGCTCCCAAACTCACCGTTCAACGAAGTTCCTCCATAGCGCCGCTGTTTTTGCACCCTCGGTAAGCGAGGGCAGGGCGCGAAAACACTTGCAGTGGCCATTTTGGGCACCCGGCGGCCATTTTGGAACCGCCGATCAGCTGTTTAAAAAAACATCGCAGTGCGAAGATCGGTAAGCGAAACTCTTACCGATCATCGCAATGCGATGTTTTGCCTATTCAGAACATCGCAATGCGATCGCATTAGCGATCTAAAAAAAATATCGCTATGAGGTTCGGCGTTAAACAGTGTGCTCGTTAAGCGAGGCACCACTGTACAATGGTTGAAATTCTGTTGCTTAGTGTAGAAAGTCACTACTAGAGTACACCCATTGAATCAGTGGGGATTTAGTGAGTCAACTCATCCATAAGTTCCATGGATTCAGTGGGCCTATTCTAGTTGCAATTTACTAAGCTAAGCAACACCCATGGAAAGTGTTTTCCTTAGGGAATTATATATTTATCACTTATAGAATTCTTTTCTGTTTAAGACATAGATCTTTCTTATACTTCCCAAATTATTGGGGGTCAAACTTAAAAATAAGTTCATTTTCAGTGCCCTAATAAGTTTTTTCACCTTACTGTTTCCTTTGCATGCGCTTCCTTTAGAAGTTGTATTTGCAAGAAGAAAACCATAGGAAAGAAATGTACTGTATAATGTATAATATTTTTAGTTAACATATGGTACATAGTTTTGTGACTTGTTTCTATATTAATATTAAGGAAATCAAGACAATAAAGCAGAAACTGAGTGAATTATGCATAGACTTCAGCAAAAATCTCAATGAAGATAATACTTTTCTGATATTTTCTCAAGAGGAGCTGTGTGAGTATACCATTTTTAGAACTTCTGTTAAGGAGGGATATAAAAATTGGATAATAAACCATCAGATTTTTAAATGCTACACTAATAGCAATTTTTCCAAGTGTGTTTGAAAATTTCTTCATGTGTGAATATGTCTCATCACTTACTCTTCTACTCTTTTGCTCTTATTTCCCCAAAATTTGTATTTCCCCCATAACTTGTATTGGCCTTTTAATTTAGATATTATTTCTTACACATATCCTATCAACTATGAACCTTTTTTTAATTCTCATGGATGATGTGTTGGATATTATTTCTACATCTGAAAATGTGACTTTTCTTTTTAAAAAAATTCCTGTTACCGTCATATCACTAGCTGAAATCCAGTAGTAAGTCACAACTAAAGTAAGCCCATCGAATCAGTGGGGAATTTGTGAGTCAAGTCCTCTGTGAGTTCCCTGGAGACTTAATACTGGATTTCATTCACTGTATTGGAATTTGGAAAGGTGCATTTGAAAAAAATACTTAGCAAATTTACATTAGTTTGTACCATTAATGGATAAAATGTTCATTTGTTTTTACAGATGCATAGAATGTGAAAATATGTAAAGTCCAGGGTTATCGTTTCTTAATTGCCTCTTTTCAGTACACACAGGCTGGTAATTAAACAGTTGTTATGTTAGCCACCCCAGACATTTTTTAATTTTTAAAGAAAACGTGTGAAGAATATCCTTTTGTTAAATCCTGTGATATGTTTCTTAGGTGGCCTTCCTGAGGATTTTATCAGTGGTTTAGAGAAAACTGAAACAAACAAATATAAGGTTACCTTAAAATACCCTCACTATTTTCCTGTTATGAAGAAGTGCAGTGTTCCAAACACTAGACAAAAAATGGAAGCTTCTTTTAACACCAGGTGCAAAGAGGTACGAGAGATTTTGTCCCATTTGTAACCGTGAAGGGAAAAAATATAGGGATAGTAGGTGTTTGAAGGGACATTGTTCAGTGATGAAGTATGTATTTTGTGGGTGGAATCTCCCAAATTCTGTCATTAGCATCTCTATTTATTTATTTATTGGACTTGTATACCGCCCCATAGCGCTACAAGCACTCTCCGGGCGGTTTACAATTTATTTCACAATCCAGTGTCCTTGGGGGGGGGAATTGACAATCAAATACACATGGTGTGAAACATTCTTTTGAGGCTACCTACATATGTAACATTTCAAGAGCAGTTGTATTATTTGGCATGGTGAGTGTTGTGTGAATGGTTGCGCAGCTGGTTGCACAATAATTTGGTAAGAGATGCCTCCACAAATAGTCACTTTCACAAAATTAGCACTAGAATGTTGGCCAGAAATTGCCATTGAGACATGAAGGTACCAGAAAGAACGTTTAAAAGATAAAATAATAATTAGAATTAACAGAATAAAAAAGAATTTAGCCCTGCCCTTTGGGGTGTTTCAGCTTAATAAGCATTTGAAGGTGTAATCCAAGCTATCTGCCTGGATAGCTTTTATTGCTTTTAACTCAAGAGTTTACATGAATTGAGAGTAGCATAGCAGATTGAGACTTTTAGGATAGGTTGAGTTAGAGATGGGGGTACAGTATCCCAGCACAGCTGGACTTAACGAGGGTTTAGCTCCTGGGACCAGACCATCCACTCATGTGTCCTGCACTGGCGGCCTCGCTCATCCTTCCAGTCACTCCCAGAGCGTCGCTGTCTTCCTGCTCGACTGGCCACTCGGCAGCTGTGCAGGGAGACTCATCCTCCCTCCCCCTGCCTGGAGTAGCTAACCAAGCAGGGTCTTCCTGTTCGACTGGCACTCGGCAGCTGTGCAGGGAGACTCATCCTCCCTCCCCCTGCCTGGAGTAGCTAACCAAGCAGGAAGAGAATGGTGCTCTGGGAGTGATTGGAAGGATGAGCGAGGCTGCCACTGGACTTGTGAGTGGATGGTCCAACCCCAGGGGATGGACCCTTATTAGGTCCAACTGCGTGGGGATAGTCGTATACAAATACGAATACCCTGACCTCTAAACCCTTGATGAAAAAGAACTTTTTGTTCTTCATCGTGGTCTTCTGTGAATTTTAATGAATAAGAACTTTTTGTTTTTCAAAATGGGCATATCTTCGAGTGCTGTAAATTTTCAAGCCCTGATATGTCTTCCTGATATGCTTCATCTCATGGCCAGTATCCTATTGGAATTACAATCACAGAAGGATGATTGCATAAACATTTAGCCAGCTTCAGGAGGCTCCTTTTTATGTGTCCACTCTTGTTTGGGTTGTGAAATTAGTTATGCAACAGATTGCATGATCTGTTATGTGAGCCTGCCAAAGCAAGGAGATGCTGAGTGAATTGTGTCAGTAAACAGTCTTGAGTTTATTTTTAGAACAAAAAGTTCATAATTACCATTGTTTATACATTATGATTATGTTTTCTCATGAAATGACCAAGATCCTCTGTAAAGTTTGGAAAAATGAACTGAAACAGGGAATATGTGTGCTTAAAAAGTGTGGTGGTATTCCCATTTTTTATACCGTTTCCCCGAAAATAAGACCTATCCATTTTTTATACCATTCCCCCGAAAATAAGACCTAACCTGAAAATAAGCCCTAGTATGGTTTTTCAGGATGCTCATAATATAAGCTCTACCCAAAAACTAAGCCCCAGTTAAGTGAAACCCCACCCTCCACCATTGTGCAGGAACCAGAAGAAGATGACATGACTATATTTGAATAAATGTAGATTGTTGTACATGAAAAACTAAAATGTCCCCTAAAAATAAGCCCTAATGCATTTTTGGAACAAAAATTCATATAAGACCCTGCCTTATTTTCGGGGAAACACATACTTTCATAATCTTCCATGGTATGAATTGCTATTCTCAACATAAGGGTTATAAAAGTAAGTACATGAAATACTTGTGACATTTATGTGTGTGTTAAAAGACAGTACAGAATATACAGTACATTTACAGTGGGGTCTTGACTTGAGAACTTAATCCGTATTGGAAGGCGGTTCTCAAGTCAAAATGTTCTCAAGTCAAATCTGCATTTCCCATAGGAATCCATTGAAAACCATTTGATCCGTATCTGCTCTTTTCCGTCCATAGAAACTAATGGGAAGCTGCTATTCCGCCTTCGACCACTAGAGGGGGGTATTTTGTTTCTTTTTTTCTTAGGTCAAGAAAGGTTCAGGGAAGGCAGGGAAAATACAGTCCAGGCAGGACAGTACCAGGCAGTCCGAAGACTGTCTCCCAGTCCACTCTCTAAACGCTGGGAGGAGTGAGGAAGCAGACAGGCACCCTTTTCACTGGCCAACAGTTAACTGAAAGTTCACATTTTGCACTTTCCCTGCCTCCCACGTGGTTTTTTTTCAGTTCTTAACTCAAATCTAAGTACTTAAGTCAAGTCAGTATTTTCCTATGAGAGTGGTTCTTAAGTCAAAATGTTCTTAACTCAAGCCGTTCTTAAGTCAAGACCCCACTGTATGGGATTAATTATTGGGCGATTCCCAGTGTGGTGCAACGGATAGAGTGATGGACTACGACTCTGGAAATAGGGTTTGAATCCCCACTTGGCTATGAAAACTCACTATGATGGGATTTATTGGATTAATTATTGGCCGATTCCCAGTGTGGTGCAAGGGACAGAGTGATGGACTACGACTCTGGAAAATAGGGTTTGAATCCCCACTTGGCTATGAAAACTCACTATGATGGGACAGTGGAACTGGTAAAACCACTCCTTAAATATCTCACTTGCCTTGGAAGCCCTGTTAGTGTCACTATAAGTCAGTTCCATCTTGATGGCATATAGGACACACACAGTGATTGGACAGAGAATTAGTTATCAGTAAACCATTTGGTTCATTATTCAGTGACAATGAACTACTGTTAAAAAATGATGTCTTGAAACAATTAAGATATTTTGTTGCATTTCACATTTGTAAACTGATGTTGTTCATTGTCAAAATTACAGGGAATGATAGTAAAGAAAAAGCATAGAGTGATCCTTAAGTTAAAGTACACCATGCCTGTCTGATACATGCTTCAGAATGAGCCTGCTGTAAATTTCTTATCTTTCTTTTGGCAAACTCCTTCTAACAACTCAGTCTTTGGATGAAATAGAACAGAAGCCCTATGTTCTTTTTATGAATTCATCCATAGTATTGGATGAGAGAGTAAGTTCATGTTACTTTCACAATATTAATATAAGTAAACTTAGGAAGCTGATATATACCCAGTGAGTTAAGCCCCTGGTCCATTTAGTTGAACATTCTCCTTTCTGACTATAGGATCAGATTTCTAAGAAGTATTTATTTCTTGCTCACCCTTCCTTCATTGAGAACTGTTTTTCTTATCTAGCTTTCCTTTCTACTTTATTTGCACAGTAATCCTACAAGGTGGTCATATTGTAAGATAGTTACTGACTGAAGGTCAGCAAAGAAACTTCATGGCCCAATAGGGACTTGATCTTACAAGTTGCAGACCACATTTTTAACTCCTTTGTCAACACTAGCTTATTAAGCATATTTTGTTTGAAATACGTGTACCCGTTTTGACAACTGAAAGTGAATTTTGGTTGTTTCTTCATATGTACTGTATGAAATAGCTGAAAATGTCAATACTTTTTTATTTATTTAGGAAAATACTAACATTCTTCAACAGTTGCTTCCATTGAGGGCAAAACTAGCAGAGCTTCTGGGATACAACACACATGCCAACTTTGTCCTTGAGCTGAACACAGCAAAGATCACAGACAATGTTACAGAATTTTTAGGTATGTTTCATTTATGCTGATAAAAATATTATACATATAACTTTAGTCATGCAGAAATATTTATTCTGAAAATAAACTATGAAGTTCTGAAATATTTTGAAATATTTTGTAGTCATCAGAATTCGGTTAAATATTATTTTAGTTGCATGCATATTTGGGAAGTATAAAATAATAACTATGATACTGTATATGAGATTTGAAGAGTCAAAGAAAACCACCTGTTCCATGTGCAGGTACGTACAGTATGTTCCTCAGGGATTGATTCCTTTTTCTCTGTGGGCAGGGAGATTTTTGATTCAGCTCATAATTGTTTTCTACAAAGTTTTTTTAATGCTAACATTTGCAGTAATGTATCAGACCAAAGTAGGTGCTGCAGGTTAAACTGCAGAAGCCTCTGTGATGCAAGCTCAGAAGACCAGCTGTCTTAAGATCAAATCCACGTGACGGAGTGAGCTCCCATCGCTTGACCCAGCTCCTGCCAACCTAGCAGTTCGAAAGCATTTGTAAATGCAAGTTGATAAATAGGTACCACCTTGGTGGGAAGGTAATGGCATTCCATGTCTAGTTGTGCTGGCCATGTGACCACGGAAACTGTCTACGGACAAACACTGGCTCTACAGCTTGGAGACAGGGGTGAGCACTGTGCCCTAGAGTCGGACATGACTGGACTAAATGTCAAGGGGAACCTTTACCTTTACAGTACTATCAGACCAAATGTCCACCCAGCTGAGTAACTTGTTTCCAACAGTGGCCAACTAAATGGTTATGGGAGCCTATAAGCAGGACAAGAGAGTAATATCCCTCTTCTATTGCAGTGTGTAGCATGGTACAGAATTAAACAAGCCTGATACTATTTTCATTTATTTTTTGCAGATGTTCTGAGTAATAAGCTGAAGCTTCTGGGTGAAGAAGAAAGAGTGTTTATTTTAAATCTGAAGAAGAAAGAATGTGAAATCAGAGACTTTGAATATGATGGAAGGATTAATGCTTGGGATCTACATTACTATATGAATCAGGTGGAGGAGCTCAAGTATTCCATTGATCAAGAGAAGCTGAAGGAGTACTTTCCCATTGAAGCAGTCACAGAAGGGCTACTGAATATTTACCAGCAGCTCCTTGGACTTGTATTTGAAAAAGAGAATGATGCTCATGTTTGGCATGAGAGTGTTACTCTTTACACAGTGAAGGACAGTTCAACAGGAGATGTTCTAGGGCAGTTTTACTTGGACCTCTACCCAAGGTAACTACCAGCTATAGTTAAAATTACTGTTTTTTTCCTTTCTTTTTAGAAATATATTTATATTCTGCCCTTCCTCTGAGGACATGAAGGGTTATACAGTAGTTCATCCTGCCCCCAGTTTATCTTCAGTAACAACCTTATGATTAGACTGAAAGATGATGGCTTGTCTAAGATTACCCAGTGAGCTTTGCAACTAAGTGGGGATTTGAATACAGGTCCTCCTGGTTCAAGTCTGACTCTAGCCACTATACCACAGTTGCTCTTTTTATTAAAGACATTTTGATTTACTGCAGAAACACTCACCTTAGCATTTTAAAGGTATTCTTGAAAGCAATCAGCATTTCTCAAAGCAGTAGAGAAATGGAGGTTCCTCTTTGCTCTCGCATAGAAACTAGTACATCTTCTGAATAGGTGCACCTGCTGTAACCCCGTATGCATCATCTTAAATTACTGTTTTTTCTCATATGCAGATTTAATTGAAAATAGTACATTCAGACTGTGCTAATATACACTTTTCTTGGATGCAATCCCCACTGAATTCGCTGTAGGAGCATGTTAAATTCCACTGAAACGTCTTTTTAATTGTCTGGCATCTTCTTTTAGTTCCTGATGGCTAGAATCTTGAAGAAGTCTGCATAATGTTTGCCTGCTTGCAGCTAATTGACGAAATGCCAATCTCACTGTAACTGGGTGCATGGCCAGGCATGCATCGTGGCATTTCATCAGTTGCTTGCAATTAGCCATTCCAAGTAGCACAAACTTTATGCAAACATGAGTGGGATTCCACTACATTTTTAGGAGTTATAGTGAAACTGTTAGCAACTGGTTGTTTGGGAGAGAGTAGAGTAGAAGCCTGGTTGTGACAAGTGCCATTCTTTTTATACGAAGGATGAGCAAGATGCAGCAAAATGTGGTCCCCAAAGCCATTTTGTGTTTCCTCCACAGCCGTCCAAAAGTTCCTCTTTTATTTTCTAGGGGTCAGGGGGTCTTTTTTTAGGTGTCCCCAGTAGCTCTGCTCTCTTCTCTCCAGTTAAACTTTTAAAAACATTTTTGGTCACCAAAGGGTATTTCTTCAGTTTATTAAATTCATGTTTTTCTTCCATTAACCAAAAGCCATTGTAGCATTCTTTATCATTCACAACTACAGTTGTGCCCCGCTTAACAATTGCCCTGCATTACAACAATCGCAAAACGATGGTCTAAATGGGGGAATTTCGCTTAGCGATGATCGGTTCCCTGCTTCGGGAACCGATTTTCACTTTACGAAAATCAAAAACAGCTGATCGTTGGGTTTTCAAAATGGCCACCGGTGCTTAAAATGGCTCCCTGCTGTGCTTAGGGACGGATTCCTCACTATACAGGCACCGAAAATGGCCGCCGTATGGAGGATCTTTGCTGGACAGTGAGTTTTTACCCCATTGGAACACATTGAATGGTTTTTAATTTCGCTTTACGATGTTTTCGCTTAACAGCAATTTTCCTGGAACGGATTATCGTCATTAAGCGAGGCACCACTGTTCTAAATTTAAACATTGTAAAAAATGAAATATGCAAATTAGGGACAGCTGGTAAATTGAAAACAGACTTTGGCCCTGAATTCTGTTATGCCTGGCATTCACACACACTCAAGTGGACTGTTTTAACATAACTTCATGCTTTGGAACTATTAGAATCTATACAACAGCACAGCCTGTACAGCATCTGACCTAAAAGCACATGTTCTCTACAATTACCATGTTGTTGTTGGTATATGCCATCCAGTTGCCTCTGACTTATGGCGACTCAATGAATGAACGATCTCCAAAATATCTTGTCCTGTCCTCAACAGGTGTGGTTAGTTCTTGTAAATTCAAGGCTGTGGCGTCCTTGATGGACCCAATCTACAGTATTTCGTATTTGATCTTTCTCAACAACACCATAAGTGAGAAAGATCTTGGAATTATCATAGATCACAAGCTGCGTATGAGCCAATAGTGTGATGTGGCTGCAAAAGAAGGCAAATGATATTTTAGGCTGCATTAATAGAAGTATAGTCTCCAAATCCTGTGAGGTACTAGTTTCCTTCTGTTCAGTACTGGTTAGGCCTCATATTGAGTACTTTGTCCTGGACACCGCACTTCATGAAGGATGCAGACAAATTGGAACAAGTTCAGAGGAGGGCGACAAGGATGATCAGGGGGCTAGAAGCCAAGCTCTGTGAGGAAAGACTGAAAGAACTGGACATGTTTAGCCTTGAGAAAAGAAGATTGAGGGGAAATATGGTAGCACTTTTCAAATATTTGAAAGGCTGTCATACAGAGGAGGGGCAGGATCTGTTCTCAACCCAGCGTGCACGGCATGCAACAATGGAGCCAGATTTTGGTTGAATATCAGAAAAACTTCCTAACTGTTAGATCAGTATGACAATGGAACCAGTTATTTTGAGAGGTCATTAGTGCTTCAATACTGGAGGCATTCAAGAGAAATTTAGACAACCACCTGGCAGATACCCTTTGATCCTAACATTATTATTGAGCAGTGATTGGACTCAGTGGCCTTATAGGCTCCTCCCAACTTCAATATTCTGTGATTCCTCTTTTCCTGCTGCCTTCAAATTTCCTAACATTATTGTCTTTGCCAGAGAATCTTGCCTTCTCATGATATGCCGAAAGTATCAGTTTCATCATTTTTTTCCTCCAGAAATAGTTCAGGTTTGTTGAAAGTATCAGTTTCATCATTTTTTCCTCCAGAAATAGTTCAGGTTTGATATCATCTAGGACCCACTTGTTCATGTTTCTGGTAGCCCAGGGTATCCACAAAGCTCTCCTCCAGCACCATAATTGAAAAATAATCACTTTTTTCTGTCAGCCTTCTTCACTGTCCAGCTTTCATAAGAGTGGATGATCTTGGCTCTGTCCTGTGAAGTATCCTTATACTTGATTATCTTTTCTAATTCCTTCATTGCTGCCCTTCCAAATCTAAGCCTTCTTATGATTTCTTGGCAGCAGTCTCCATTTGAAGTAATGATCGAACTGAGATGCAGAATATATTTAACAATTTCAATTTCTTCATTGTCAACATTTAGTTTGCAGTTCTTCTGTAGTCATGATTTTGGACTTCTTAATGCTGAGTAATTTAGGCATCTGGCTGATACCAGAGATACTTGGGGAGTTCAATTCCCCACTATGCCTCTTGCAAAAAGAGCCAGCCTGTGAAGTCATGGGAAAGCTGCACAATCCCAGGGTGCCCGCAGAAGGGAATGGGAAACCACTTGGTTTATTCTACAGTACCTAGAAAACAATGGAAAGGGTCACCATAAATTGGAATCACACACAGTGTTCAACTGCTTTTTTTAAAAAACTTTGTTTCGATCCCATATGGCTTTCCATATAATAGGTTCTGCATTCAGATTGGACAGATAAGGGGAAGAAAGGCACTCTTGTCTGACACCTTTGCCAGTAGGAAACCATTCTGTCTCCATATTCTGTCCTAACAGTAGCTTCTTGTCCGTGATACAGATTACACATCAGCACAATCAAGTGCTGGGGAACACCTACTTCTTTCAGAATAACGTATAGCTTTGTATGATCCACACAGTAAAAGGCTTTGCAGTAATCTATAAAGCATAGACTAATCTTCTGAAATATTTTGGTGCACTCCATTAACTAGTGAATATTTGCAGTATGATCTTGAGTTGCGTCTTCCTTTTCGGAATTCGGCTAGAACATCAACCATTTCTCATTCCATATAATATAAAAGTCTTTGTTGCGAAACCTGGAGCATCATTTTGCTTACATGGGAAATTAGAACAATGGTCCTATAATTGCCACATTCCTTGGCATCTCCTTTCTTGGGGAATGTATATTGAACATTTCCAGTTAGTGGCCCATTGTTTTATTTTCCATGTTTGTTGGTATACTCTTATTAGGATTTTGACAGATTCTGTTTCTATGGTTTGAGACAGTTCTGTTGATATCCCATCTACCCCAGTGATTTACTTTGTGGTGCTTTCAGAACAGTTTTTACCTCACTTTCTACAATTGCAGGTTCTTCATCATAGGATTCCTCTTCAAAGGAATCTATCATCCGTTTATGTCTTCCGTATTGATCTTCAGTATACTGTTTCAACCTTCTCTTTATTTTCTCCTTGTCAGATAGGGTGTTTCCCTGCTGGTCTTAAATTTCTCTTTAATTTCTTGGATCTTCTGGAAGAGATCTCTTGCTTTTCCTCTTGATGTTCTCTTCTGTGTCTTTGCACTGAACATGATAATAGTTCTTTTTATCTCCACATGACAGTTGGTGAAAAGCTGCATTCAGGATTGTGATACTACTTCTGTCACCTTTTACTTTTGCTTCTCACCTGCCCTTTACAATTCTAAATATTTCTTCCATCATCCCTCCAAGATTGATCCAGCTTGTTATTATCAGTGCATTGCACTTTTCCTGTTCTAAGCTATCTGCCTGCTATATCCTTCATCATTTTATTTGAGTGATATAAGGAGCTCTAAATATCATCATAGCCCTTTGTATCATCACAAAAGGAATGTGGTTGTGAAAGTGCCTTGATAAGAAATACTTGGAGCCTACATAAACTTCAGTTGCTTCCCTTTGAAAGACCTCTTCAAAGAGATTATTCTTGTGAATAAGGTGGAATGTGAGAACAGAACACCAAAAGCAATTACCTACTCTGATGTTCAGCTCCAGAAAGTATTGTTTGGTATAATATGGCAGATGTCTGTGACCTGCAGAGTGTTATTAACAAAAGGAACTTGCATCCTGAGTAAAAAATGCTGCAATTGAGTGCTACCCATTATTGTCCACACAGTAGTGGACAGTAATGGGTTCTAAAGACTTCAAGTTCAAAAGACTACAATTTCCTGAAATCTCTCTGGATGTTTAAAGGAAAAGCTAATGCTTCAGGGAATAGGGTATGACTAAGGGTGGTTAACAGTAAAATTGGCACACAGAGGGATTTCCCCCTTAAGCAGCAGTATGTTGAAATCTTAAGGGAAGAATATTTGAACATTAGCAAGTTTTATGGGCTTGTGCTCACAGTGCTGCTGCTGATGTTTGGATCCCAAGTACAATGCTGTTTTAAAACTACAGGAAAATACTTCCTTGTCAAATGCCAAATTATTCATCTTATTTCTTTGTGACAATTTCTCTGAAGTATGGTTTTGGGCTATTTTCTTACTCAGAGAAGGAAAGTACGGCCATGCTGCCTGCTTTGGTCTCCAGCCAGGCTGCCTTCTTTCTGACGGCAGCAGGATGATGTCAGTAGCAGCTCTGGTTACCAACTTCACAAAGCCTATGCTGGATCGTCCATCGCTGCTGCGTCATGGTGAAGTGAAAACATACTTCCATGAGTTTGGACATGTAATGCACCAGATATGTGCTCAGGTTAGTAGTTGCCTTACTCTGCAAGCCAAAGAGTAATGGATCTTCTGGTAGCGTGAGAGTGGCATGTGTGTGCAAAGAAGAGATCAGGAGTCACATGTCACCTTTCCTCAGTTAAAGAAAAATGTTTCATTTTTTTAAAAAACAATTGTTACATTTGGATCAGGTATGTCATATATGCTGAAAAAGTTTTAGTTTGCAGAATTTCCTCTTAACACAAATTGCAGTGAAGTAAGGTCTGATCCTTTAGCATCAAATGATTAAAATCAACTTATCAAGTTCCATTGATTCAAATGGGCCTACACTAACTGCGACTTGCTTGAGCATAGTAAGTCACAATTAGAGTAGGTCTATTCGAATCAATGGAACTTATGGAAGTGTTAATTCTGCAATTCCTCGTTATTTCAGTGGGGCTACTCTACTGCATTTTGCTACAGTAATAATAATTATTTGCCATCAGGTCAATTCTGACTGATGGTGACCCTTTTCATGGTTTTACAGGTAGAGAATACTCAGACAGGGTTTACCATTCCCTTCTTCTGCACACATCCTGGGACTGCGGAGCTTACCCAAGGCCATACAGGTTGGCTCTACTTATAGGAGGCACAGTGGAGAATCAGATTCGCAGCTTCTGGCTCCACAGCCAGATACCTAAACAACTGAGCTATCCAGCCAGCTTATTTACTACACTGAGGAACAGAATGTTGGCCATTCTGTCACTTGAAGGCTAGCCAACCCTGGTGGTGCTTGTCATTAGGAATCAAGTCTGCTTTTACCTCTATAGCCTAGTTGTGGTTCTAATTCTTTATCACTCAAGAGTGTAACAGTAGGGCATCCTTCTTCAGATAATACCTGAGAAGTCTAATCTATTTCTATAGGTGAAGCTGGCAGACTGACTGCAGTTTCATCTACTCACAGATTCAGAGTGTGGCCTACATGCTTTGGCCAGAATCATTCACTGAATTCCCACTATCTGATGTATGTTGAGATACGTTTCTATCTGTATCTGTTTTAATCTTTCAATGAGTTTTTTATCTCAGTCCTGTGTGAAAGCAGGGGATGTAAGCCCAATCAATCAGTACTTTTAGTTTCTGCCGGTAGGATTTTACACACTAATTTGGATGTGCTGTCTGCATCCCTAGGACTTGAACAGATTTTTCAGGTATTGTTTACCAGTTCAATGTGTTGAAAGACTGGGCAGTGGCTCTGGCATAAACCTATGTATATATCGCAAATATTGCAAAATTTGATGGAGTGCGTAAACGCAGTCTTTTAATGTGTGTATGTGTATGTTAGTTATGTGTCTTGGCAACTAATTTGGATGTGCTGTCTGCATCCCTAGGACTTGAACAGATTTTTCAGGTATTGTTTACCAGTTCAATGTGTTGAAAGACTGGGCAGTGGCTCTGGCATAAACCTATGTATATATCGCAAATATTGCAAAATTTGATGGAGTGCGTAAACGCAGTCTTTTAATGTGTGTATGTGTATGTTAGTTATGTGTCTTGGCAAAAAATTAATACTCAATGTGTTGGAAGACTGGGCAGTGGCTCTGGCATAAGCCTATATATATATCTCAAATGTATCTATATTTCAAAATTTGATGGAGTGCATAAACGCAGTCTTTTAATGTGTGCATGTGTATGTTAGTTATGTGTCTTGGCAAAAAATTAATAATTACACCCCCGTCTCTCATTTTATTATTATTGTTACCTTTTGTAGACTGATTTTGCAAGATTCAGTGGAACTAATGTGGAAACAGACTTTGTAGAGGTACCTTCACAGATGTTTGAGAATTGGGTATGGGAAATAGAACCTCTGCAAGCAATGGCAAAACATTATAAAGATGGCAGCCGTGTTCCTGATGATCTCCTGGAAAAGCTTGTTGCTTCTAGGCTGGCCAACACAGGTATTGCCTTTCTTGCTTATGCTTCAGTTTCATTTTATTTATGAATTTTTTTGAAATAATGTCTATGAAAGAAAATATCAAAAGAGACAATAGGTTTATAAGGCCCCTCATCCACAGCTTGTATTGAGCATAAGAAGAGCCATGATGGATCAGGCCAAGGGCCCATCTAGTCCAGCTTCCTGTATCTCACAGTGGCCCCACCAGATGCCTCTGGGAGCACATGAGACAACTAGATCCCTGTCTCCTGATACCTCTCCCCTGCATCTGTTATTTTGAAGTATCTTCTTTTTAAGCGTGGAGATTATACATCCCCATTATGGTTTGTAACCTGCGACTTTTCCTCCAGAAATCTGTCCAATCCCCTTTTAAAGGAGTTCCACAGACTAACAACACTTTGGGTAAAGAAATATTTTCTTTTCTCTGTTCTCACTCTCCCAACACTCAATTGGAGTGGATGTCCCCTGGTTCTAGTATTGTGTGAGAGGGAAAAGAGCTTCCCTCTATTCACTTTATCCATTCCCTGTATAATTGTATATGTCTCAATCATGTCCCCTCTCAAGTGTCTTTTCTCTAGACTAAAGAGTCCCAAACACTGTAGCCTTTCCTCCTAAGGGAGGTGCCACAGCCCAGTCATCATTTTAGTCACTCTCTTCTGCATCTTTTCCAGTTCCACTGTGTCTTTTTTAAGGTGACCAGAAATATACACAATACTCCAGGTGCAGCCCTACCAGCGTTTTGTACAATGCCATTATAATGTTGGCTGTTTTATTTTCAATTCTCTTTTTAATGATGCCTAGCATGGAATTGACCTTCTTCACTGCCGCTGCACACTGGATCAACACTTTCATCGAGGTGTCCACCAGCACACCAAGATCTCTTTCCTGATCCATCATGGATCAGAACCCATTAGCTTATGAAGTTTGGATTTTTTGCCCCAAAGTGCATTACTTTACATTTTCTTATATTGAAACGTATTTGCCATTTTGCTGCCCATTCTCCCAGTTTAGAGAGATCCTTCTGGAGCTCTTCATAATCCCTTCTGGTCTTCACCACTTGGAAAAGTTTTGTGTCATCTGCAAACTTAGACACCTCATTGTTTATCCCTGTCTCCAGATTATTTATGAACAGGTTGAAAAGCACCAGTCCCAGGACAGATTCAAGGCACACTTCTCTCCATTGTGAAAATTGCCCATTGACACCTACTCTCTGTTTCTTGGTTCTCAACCAGTTCTCAGTCCATAAGAGGACCTGCCCTCTTATCCCCTGACTGTGGAGTTTTCTCAGCAGCCTTTGGTGAGGGACCATGTCAAACACCTTCTGAAAATCCAGATAGACAATATCCACTGGTTCGCCTGCATCCGCATTACTGTTGACCTTTTCAAAGAATTCTAAAAGGTTTGTGAGGCAAGACTTACCCTTACAGAAGCCATGCTGATTTCCCCCCAGCAAGACTTGTTCTTCTATGTATTTTAAGATTTCATCTTGGATGAAGCTTTCCACCATCTTACCTGGAACCGATGTTAGGCTAACGGGCCTGTAGTTTCCCAGGTCCCTCCTCCTTCCCTTTTTAAAAACTGGGCATGAGATGTGCTGTCCTCCAGTCCTCTGGCACTGTGGCCATTTTAAGGGACAAGTTGTGTATTTTAGTTAAAAGATCAGCAACTACGTTCCTCAGTTCCTTAATAACCCTTGGGTGGATGCCATCTGCACCTAGTGACTTACTGATTTTCAATTTATCAATTAAGTCTAAAACATCCTCTTTTAACCTGTATCTGATTTAATTCATTAGTCAGGAGGGGCCGTTCGGGCAGCGGAATCTGCCTAAGGTCTTCTGTCATGAAGACAGATGTGAAGAACATTTAATTTCTCTGCGATCTCCAAGTGTATACAGGTTGAGTATATAGATCGCCAATCTTTATACCAACTGTGCAAGGATAAAAATAAACCTTTACTTCTCTACCAGCCTTATGCTTTCTCATGTTGCTTGTGGTAGAATAAACTTCCTTCCTGTCCAGCACAAGAATTATGACACAATATTAATAGAGTGGCCGTCCTTATTTTGTCAGCTCACTGATGATCTCCACTGAAGGATGTAATTCTATAATATATAATGGGCCACATAGTTCCCCATTTCTGGCCTATGTTTGCCAGGTTAAGTCGTTAAGTATAAGTATGATGTAAAGTTTATAATGAGAGTGGTTTGCTGCATTTATCGTGGTATTATCTACTTGTGCTCTCCTAGAGGCATTTAATACTTCTTTGGCCTGCTCCTTTCCCAGTTAGGATTTTAACAGTAGCTATCACAGCTTATCAGAGCTTCTCTTTCTTTAATTTCTGGTTTGTCAAAATGGTGTCTTGATCCTTTCATTTAACCAGGCCTTTTGACTCTTCGTCAGATTGTTTTGAGCAAGGTTGATCAATCTCTTCATACAAATGCTTCTGCTGATCCTGCTGAGGAATATGCCAAATTCTGTGATGAAATTTTGGGGATACCTGCAACCCCAGGTATGAAAACGTAAACACTCCAATTTTTTTCTTGTTACTTTTTATAAACATCTGTTTTAAAAATTCATTAATCATTCCTTCAAATACAGGAAGGAATTATATTTATAAAAAGATTGGTTTTTGCCAAGCAACTATCCAGATGTATATGGGACAGTGTCTTTTGGCATTCTTATTATTTTACTCTCCACCCTCCTTTAGGCAGGAGGTCTGGATACATTGGGTATGATCCAGCCTTTGAGCTAAGTTGCACTCATTTTATCGCTGCTATGCACCTCTCGTAAATCTGTTCCAAATGATTGAGAAATCCTCTAGAACAGGATGGTAGGTGGCAGTAAGAGATGTAGAGGGGTTATTGGTTTGATGGAAAGAGATTCCACATATGCCTACTTTTGCTGAAACTCTGCTGGATCCAAATCCGTAACAGAAGATAAGACATCTTTGGATACAACTCACTGAGATTTAAACATCTCTTGGCAGAGCATTAGAGAGAATGCACTTCTTCCTCTCCACCTTGGCCAGCAGTCTGCCTGTTTCTGTTCTGGAAAACAGCAACCAGAAGAGAAGAACTGAACAGTGCCTGAGTCTGGGCTCTGTCCTGGTTGAGCAAGGCTTAGTATCCGCTTAGACATAATCTAAGAATAGCCACCAGTTTGTTGTTACCATCTCATATTCTGAAGCAACTGATAGAGCCCTAGTGCGCCACTATGGCTCATCAGTATTGACACGTGTTCCATTCCCTCCTCCCATACTATATAACTCAATCTGACAGCCATGATTTTAATTTCCTTTGGTGTCCTAGGATGGTGCCTCTGAGATTTATGGGAATTAGAAATTGTAGTCTCCAGCTGCCTGCCTGCCTCTACTTCCAAGTGAAGCCCATGAAGTCCTCTGGTATAAGAGGAAAGCCCTCAGAAGGTCCTTCAGCAAGAGTCTTCTCAGCTGTGAAGCCAGTCTTGGAGGCTATGAAAGGAAGGCCCTTTTTTCTTTCTCCGTCTCCTATGATTGTTCCCTAGGCTGGTTCCGTCTAGTGTGCATGGTCTACCTTTGGTTCACTCAGGAGTTTCTGAATCCATTTCAGAATCCATTCAGCTCTGCAGAAAGACAGAAGTTGTCAGCTGCTTTTTATATGTATTACATTTCATCTGCCCTTTACATCTAATGGGAGTTCTGGCCCTTGAACGCCTGGAACATCAGCAGATCTACATCCCTTGCTCCAGGAGGTTTAGGGGATGTAAATGCCATTCTGCCAATCATATAAGCCATATTGGTTCTGACCTTCCCTGGATCTACTTGGCTTTAGATGTAATTATATGGGTGCTTTGAGATTTTTCTCCAGAACATTTACAGAAGCTATACATTATCAGTGTACGTCATTTTGTTTTTTTCTTTTGTTTTTTCTCTGCTGCTTTTTAAAGGTACAAATATGCCAGATATGGGTGCTTTGAGATTTTTCTCCAGGACATTTACAGAAGCTATACTGTACATTATCAGTGTATGTCATTTTCTTTTTTTCTTTTGTTTTTTCCCTGCTGCTTTTTAAAGGTACAAATATGCCAGCTACCTTTGGCCACTTGGCAAGTGGATATGACGCCCAATACTATGGATACTTGTGGAGTGAAGTTTTCTCTATGGATATTTTTTACAACTGCTTTAAACAAGAAGGCATAATGAATCCAAGGGTAGGCAACTTTTCTACTGTAGGAATTGTGTGTTACAGAATTTTCCCCAATATACAATTACTGAGACGAGTATGCATGAGAAGTTTGAATACATTTTTTTTTCTCTCATAATTAGGTCAAATTAAGATAAATTGGTTATTTAAGACTGCATAAACAGTTTTATTTTAATTGACATACTTATTTCTAATTGATAATTTTGTATTTTTTTCATGTGCTGTAAAGTTGCTTCTGGTGATCCTGTGAATTAGTATCCTCCAAAAGCTCTTATCATTAATAGTTCTGCTTAGGTCTTGCAAATTTAAGGCTGTGGCTTCTTCTATTGAGTCAGTCCACCTCATATTTAAGCTTTGTCGTTTCCTGCTGCCTTAAGTGTTTCCCAGAATTGCTCTTTCCCAGTAAGGCTTGTTTTCTCGTGTGGTAACCTAACAGTTGTTGGGAGACTTCAGAAGGGCTGTGTGTGTCATTCAAACTTAGGTTATTTTGAGGAATGGTGTAATTAAGGTTCTTCGTCATGGTGTCCAAGTATTCACAGAAATGGGTTGTACACATGAAGGCTGTTGAAGAGAAGAATGTTTGTAATAAGACATGTGTAATCTTGTCAGCCATGTTTCAAGCCTGTGTTGTGCTTACATGCACCTTTTCTTCATTTTTGTTGTACATTTAGAATTCTCATAAATACGAAATGTTAATTTACCAAATTTATTTTCTTTTAGGCTGGAATGAAATACAGAAATTTTATCTTGAAACCTGGAGGTTCATTAGATGGGATGGATATGCTCCAAAACTTTTTAGGTCGTAAGCCAAATCAAAAAGCCTTTTTATTGAGTAAAGGGCTATTTACTTAATCAGACTATGAGTTGTTTACCATCAGATGTCATCCGGCAAATCAGTCCTGAAATGATTTGATTCAGTTGATTTTCTGAAAGGTAAAACGTGTTCACTAGGAAAAAACTAATTGTTTTTCTAATGTTTTTATTACTGTTTTTCACAATTCTTAATGTCAATTCAAAATTCACTCTGAATTGCCGTACTGTATTGAACTGTGTACTTTTTATTTATAAATTATTTGTGGATTCTGATAAATGATAAAAGGAAAAATGTTGTAATTTTCCAAATTAATTAGAAGTGGTGAAGAAATGTTAACGTCATCAGTGTGGATTTTTAATTCTGTATAATATTACTCATTATTTGGTCTACTTAGTAGTAACTTACAGAGGGTAAGACCTCACAGTCAGGTGGCAACCTGTTTCCTTCTTTTACAATGTGACTCTTCTAGGCAAAGCAACTCTTTTAATGCCTAAGGACAGATTCAGCTGTTATAAGTACAGTAGCTAATAATTAGAGCTAAAAGCATGTTACTGTTGGAGATAAGTTACTGAGGCAGTATTTTTAGGCTTGTAAAATCAGATTTCAAAGGCACCTCAAGCTTAAATCCCAAAAATCAATCACCAAACAGCAAACCAATGTGCATACTGCTGGGGTTGAGAGAAGCTCTTGTGAAACCTGCCTTAGTTATGGATTTTGAGAAAACTTTGCATTAGAATGAACAGATAGTCTGTTTCCTCTTAAGGATATACTGCTTCTTAATACTAAATTGGCATCCTAAATTTCCTTCTTGTACTCTGCCCAATAGACAGAGACCACACTTGAGGCACTTAATAATCCTGATGTGCTTGTTTACTTGAAAGCACAGCATTCACAGAACAATAAGCATCATTTTTAAAAAAAATCTGTAAAATGCCCCTTAAAAGGTTTCCTTGTTCTGAAGTCATTGGAGTGTGTAAAGGCTGTGGGCACAACCATAAGAATGGAGAGTGTCCTTTTATTTCTTCGACATAATACATACAGTGGTGCCTTGCTAGATGATGATAATCAGTTCCACTGAAATCGCTGTTTAGCGAAATCATCGTCTAGCGAAAAGCATTTCCCCACTGGAATGCATTGAAACCTGTTTAATGTGCTCCAATGGGGAAGAATTGTCATTGTCTAGCGAAGACGGGCCATGGGAAAGCCGCTTTGCGACCCGCCGATCAGCTGTTTAAATAGCTGTCTTGCGAAGCTTAGGTCCCGAAAACACCCGTTTTGGGAGCATGAAGGGAGCTGTCAAAATCGTTGTCTAGCGAAAATTGGTCTGCGAATCAGGGACCAAACATTGTCCAACGAAATTTCCCCATAGGAATCACTGTTTTGCGAATCGCTATAGCAATCACAAAAAGTCAATGTCTAGCGAAAAAACTGTCATGCGGGGTAACTGTCTAGTGAGGCACCACTGTACTGTAGTCTGTTATTTTTATCTCCCAGTCCTCAGATTTGGTACCTGTACCTTTTCCTCTCACACTCTTGTTACAGTTCAGGGAGATTCCTTGTTTGCCAACATGTATTCCATACAACTTGAGTCGCCTAGTGTTCCTGGCAAGTGAAACCAGCTTGTGCATTGTTTTTTATCAGTTTGCCAGGAGTTGATCTTATTTAATCACCTACATCTATAAAGTCTTCATTGTGAAAGGAGGAGAAAAACTTTTCCTCTTGAAAGCTAATTTGCTTATTAGCAAAAAAAAAATAATTCATGGTACAGCCTTCAGAATGCAGGTAGGGATGCTGTACTTCACTGCATAGATAGAAAAGCACACCAAGCAGAAGTCTAATACTAAGCTCATATGCTTAGTATGTTTTCCATGGATAAGGCATCTTTAAGAGAGAAGAGCATCACATCATTTTGTTTGTTTGTTTGTTTTATTTAGTCTGTTTATTTTTCACTTTTATTTCATTGTGGAACTCAAGTCAGTGTATCTGGGGCTTCATGGTATTCTGCCACCTGGGCACCTGTTTGGCTTGAGCTAGGTGGCCATCTCATGTACCTTCAGACCATGTCCTAATCATGCAATATTTTGCGTCCTGGATTAGGCCTAAAATAGCTCTACCATACACTGCACGATGCACAGATTAGCCTTTAAAACATGAGAAAGGCAGAGGAAAGCACATTGATCAGAAAGGTCTCTCTTATTTCCAGTATAGTTGAAGTAATATGGTAAGGGTGAAGAATGATTGAACTGACTCTTTTAATTTGACAAAAATATGTATTATCCTTATTATTAATTGGGTGAAAACTAATGAATCAGTGGGGGTATAATAAAGAAGAGAAGAAAAAGCATGAATGAGATACTGCTACAGTTACTGGAATTACTTTTGTATTGTGGCATGAACTCACAGAGGGATGAATTGCTGAATTCTGCTGTGAAAAGCAATAAAAAAGTTTTACATTATAATTAGAAAGTCTCATTGTTTTCTAACCACTTTTCGTCTTCCCCTCAATTAACAACATATGGAAGCTGACAGCAGAGCCAACAGCACTTTCAGGACAGAAGAAACCTACATGCAGGGGCTAAACAAATCATATTCCCATATTGCTTGCTGCCTGCCCACAGTTCAGAGCAGCCACAGGGCACTGATAATTGACAGTGAAGGAAGCATCTTCTCCCTGTATGTTGTTTCTTCATTATATCCTTTCTTACATGTTATCCTTTGTTGCAGAGGAGTGACACCGGGACCTTAGAAATGGAGTATCTATCCTCTAACTGAGCTGAGTTATGGCTGATCCTCATGTCTCTGAAAATAGAGTTACCTGATAAGAGGAATCAATCAGTGGTCCTCACCCACCCACCCACCACACACACACATCCAGTCTCCAAGGCCTTATGTACTGCCCTCCCCATCACCCTTCCATCTGGAGCACACTTGAAGCATGTTGATTAAGAAGAAGCAATCCTGATTGGGATTGTGGGAGTGAAGGAGCAAATTTAACCTTCTCCCCCTTTTGAGTCCAAAAGCAGAATAATCTCATCTTGAATACAGTCATTGAGATTGGGGTGAAGTTAAAGCCTACTCCCAATATATGTGGTCAGAAATCACAGAAGAAAATTGTGCATCATCACACTACAGAGTGCAGAAGTTTCTGAATACCTATGGCAGATCAAGATAAAAATTTTCTTTTTTAAATATGGCAACAGGAAATGCCACAAGAGGGAGGCCTTTCTTTGAAAAGAGAAGGTTTAGCAAAAGCTGCAGTTGAGTATTTGGTATCAAGGAAGGAAGGAAGGAAGACTAACATTAAATTCATGAGGCTGCTAATTGGTAGAAATTAAGCTTCTTTAAAATGAATAAAGTAAGACAGGCTATTGAGGACGTGGTGAGAGTTGAATGCTTGCCACTCTAGTGCAGCTAGACTACAACTAAACTAAACTACAATTCATACCTTATCAGCTGTGATCTGAGGAAATTGACTTAGAAATGTGTTCCTTTAAACTGTGGGACTTCGATTTTAAGCACATTTACCTGGAACTGAGTATACATGGTCCTTCTATAACAGGCTTATATAGTTTTCTATTATTCCCTGAAAGGTGTAATTTAAATCTGATTGGCTAGCCTTCCTGTAAATACAATGCTCTGGAGAGGAACTACCTTACTGGATCAGCTGCACAGATCAACTGTTTGCCTTCTCAACCAACTTCAGTTATAATTCAAGACATCACCTGCAACACAGCGTGCAAGTAACTATTAAGGATATCCATGTTACTCAGGGAATAAATGTCTCAAGCGCAGGGTATCTCACTAGAACCATCTTTTAAAAATCTTCTCTTTCTCTTTTTCTCCCTTTCAGTCCAGTTTGTTATGTTTAACCTAAAGAAGAGTCTAAGAGTACTCAAAAGGTTACATACTTCCAAAAGTAAACAATACCACACTTGTTTTTACTCATTCTCTACTCAAGATATCAGCCTATTTATTTTTATTCTACTACTTCGCTCCCCCTTTCTAAAAATTTGTTTTTTGGGCAAATTATAGTGTGACCAGTACACTGAAATTGGCTGATTTATTTTAAATCCAGTACAGAGGTGAGAAAAGGTATAAAAGCCAAGGAGAAAATGGCATTTGGGCTTCAGATTGCTTAGCCGTTTTAGGAACCTAGAAAGCACATTACATTTTCAAACTATTTGTCCATTTAGCCCAGTACCTAATGTATCCTCTGTCTGGGAGAGATCTCCAGGGTGGCAATCAAACATAATTCCCATCATTTATGACATCAGCCTTTTAACTCAGATGTCCACAACATGGACAGTTTCCAACCACTCTTGGAAAATGCTGACATTTACTGGGAAGTGATTAAAATAAGACATGGATCATTTATGGAAAGCACTTTAGATCTAATATGAATACCAAAAATTTGTGGAACACAAGGTTTGGGCAACTGGCTTATAAATATCTTTTGGCAGTAAATGACAAAGTTGAGTCATAAACTGATGATGTCAAATCATCTTAAGAGCTGTACATTTCTTGATCAGTCTCTCTTGATTTCTCTCTGTATTTCATATTTATTGCTGTATTTTTATATTTATTGCTGGCATACTAAAACAGTAATAAGTATTTACAGTTACCTTCAATAAACTATGACTGGACTTCTTTTAATCTTAGCATTCCATTGTTAATGTAATTATTTTTTAATCTTTTTTTATTCTTTATTGAAAGAACATAGAAACAACAGTAACTGCAACAAAATAACAGTACAGGTCTTTCACAAGAAATATATAATCTGACATATTACCTTCACGCCATTGTAATTTGCATTAGATTAGAATATTACACCAAAAGTTGACATGGGAGGTTGTGGAAAACAAGTCTTGTCATTCTTATTAACTTCAAAATGTGTTGAAAAAGACATATTGGGAATATGGTTGTTTTAAGTAATTTGAATGAGTGTGTTAATTTTTCCATCAGGGCAATATGCCATATACGGTTTCTCTTTGCATGTAAACATAAATTATAAGTTCTTTTTCCATTTGTGGCAATTTCTGAACGTGCTGCCATACAGAAAAAGAAAACCACCTGTTTGTGAATTAGCTGTTCGTTATTGACTGAAAAAAAAAAGACAGGAGGGTTAAATCTGATGACCTTACAATGTTTTGCCCTGTGAAAAATTCTGTTTCTGTAAAAACTCTGGACCAGAACAACTGGATTGGATGTTATTGTCTGTCACGTGTGCACGCCGATATTCACACATTGCCAACAGGTTGAACAGACTTCTTTGTTGATATAATTTAAACAGAGTGTTTTAAATTACCACCTGTGCTGAGGCTCCTTAAATTTGAGATAAGCCTTTTTCCCTAAAGCCTGCCATTTTATATCAGATATGATCGCCCAAATAACTTGCTCAAACCATTTTGCAACATAATTTACAGCCATACTGGGATTCAATTAGTATTTCATATAATTTTGAAGCCAGCTGTGCTTGATATTTTCTGAGGCTAGTAGAAATGTGCCAATCTTTCAGACATTTTTCCGCATTCCTAAGGAATGGATTGGTTATTAACTTTAGTCAATTGAGAAGGAACCATGACTCCTGTAAGTATTTTATTGATGAGTAGGTTGTGGGATACCTGTTAGGTTAGATAAATGTTGACTATCAGGAGAAGACATGTTAAGTACCAGAATGTACCAGACGTACCATGACAAGGCAGCAATCCTTCTTCATGGATTGCTGCCTTGTTGTGGCAAAGGGGCTTGAGTAATTCAGAGAAGCTCTGGGCTATGCCATGCAGGGACACCCAAGGCGAACAGGTCATAGTGGAGAGTTCCAACTAAACGTAATCCACCTGGAGTAGGAATTGGCAACGCCACTCCAGTATCTTTGCCAAGAAAACCCTATGATCAGGAACATGAGTGCTCAC